CACAGATGTGTGAAACAAATATATAATTATATTGATGTATAATTAAGATTGAAATTATAGTTTTAATAAAATTCTAGATTTCATAATTCTAACCTCAGACAGATCAAACACAACAAATATATAATTATTATATAAATATACAGACAGAGAGAGGAAGAGATCTGATGAAAAATCTTAATGATTGGTTTGGAAGCTTTGCATCAAATAGCCAAGAGGAATGCCACGTCCACCACTTCAAATCAATTCCTTTTAAATTGCTATAATTTTTTTATTATAAACTTTTCCCCAAAAAAAACTTCAACAACAATTAATCTCTATTGTATGTTTTTTTTTTTTTTTTTCCTTTTATCAACATCCAACTTTATTAATAGATTGCCAATTAAGGTTAGATTTCTTTTATCAGTATATTCTAATGGGATTTCTTTTATCAGTATATTCTAATGGCAAAATCAACAAGGTCAAGCCTTGAGACGGATTGTTTGGGCTTCCATAGCAAGAGACTGCGCTTCAACGTCTTCCATTGCAAGAGATTTTGTTTCCACCTGAACAACATCCTTCTCATGCTCCTCGCGGTTGAGTGCTGGGATTGGATCTTGAAAATTTGATAACAATTTGTGAGGTTGAAGACGCACTATTGCAGATGAACGATGGACGACCCACAGCCCACGTGAGGTGACACAGGATATTTAATTCTCACCGTAAAGGACGGGTTAAAAAGTCCTGTGACATCAGATTCGGTGAATTTTCGATGATAATCATTCGGTTGTTCTATCACTACTCTTCTTAAAATTACGAAAAATTATTTCAAAAGCCGTAAGAGACCAAAAACAACTTGTAAAACAAGTCTAATTTGTGCGAAATATACAGGGATGTTGGACCAGTCCATTTTTGACAGTTCTAAGAACGTGGATTAAAGGGCAACTTGAACGGATCTATTTTTTGCAATCCACATTTTTTTAATAAGCTTAAAAGGTGCCTAAGCCTTAAATAATTACCAAAAATGAACTATAGTGATCTCACAATGTTGTTTTCTTCCAACTGGAGTGTGCTTGCACGCTTTCCAATATTGCTATTCTGCTTCTAAATTCGAGGCTCAAGAATAAAATATAAAGTTATAATTCCATCAGACTAGTTTTGACACAAAAATTGGCCAATTACAAAGTTTTATGTCACATACTATGCCATCACGTTTGTGTTTTTAATAAATTATGAAAAATATAATGGTTAAGCAAAACTAGTGGTTAAAAGTAATACAAAAAATGCATCCACCAAACAAATTTTTTTCTTTTAAATTCCCTCCATTAAAATAATGCAAAGCCCATTGAATGAAAGAAATTGTAGAATTAAGAAGCTCTCCAAAGTCCAAAAGGGCAATAATAATAATAATAATAAAGAAAACATTGGATGTTGAAGGTATACGTGTTTAACAAAAACCTCATGGTGTAAAGAAATTATTCAAGTAATACTAAGGTGAACCATTCCTACACTGCACGTGACCAACCATCCTTAGCATTGCATCTCTATAAAAAAAAAAAAAAAAAATTAGGTTCAATGTGTTATCACACGTATTACTTTGTACACTTGAATATTAATTAATTCATAAGTTCCAGAAATAAATTAAGAATCGATCTAGTTGTTTCTATCGTAGCATTGTTTTTCTAAAAATAATATTAATGCATGCTTATGCAAGTTCACCATTAGAAATGAATCTGAAGATGAACTTTTGGTTTATATTCCATAATTCAGTAACTGCATGCATGACGAAGATGCTGATGCTGCTACTACCTTTGGATGAATCAAAGTATACATACGGAGTATTTATATATACACACATATAATATGATAATTAATACCCTGTGCAAAGGGTTGCTGATTCTACAAGTTTTGAACCAACCGAAATACTAATAAAATTAATATACTGAAGGTACGTAACACTTCCCATGCATTATTAATTCTGTTTTCCCAAGCTTTACATACTCCATTATTTTAGTGGCAAAAGAATTGTAATATAAAAACCGGACGCGGAGAAAAGCTTACATGCGTATTGACATTTAGGTGTTAAGTTTGTGTTTAGGGTCACAACTGGACATCAGTGTATCTATATTCGTATCTATCTATATCTATATCTATATCTATATCTATATCTATAGGAGTATATTTTTTGGACAAATATTGTGTAGTGAGGTTTGCCAAAAGGACAAGTTGCTCTATTTTTTAACAATGACATCCCTTTAAATTTGATACAATTATCAAAGACACTCCAATAGTCTCTTACATGTAATGCATTGACATTTTTACCCTTTGACTTTTATATTGATCAATTTAAATGTTAAAATTACATTTCTAACCTTTCCGTCCTTCTAATTTTTTATTTATATATATACATATATATGAATATACATACATATATATATCCACACACACAAGGCAGCGATCAAACCACGCAAACAACCCCCACTGTACCACCTCCCGCTGCCCATTGCACCACCATCGCTGCCGTCAACAATTTACAACCACCAGAAACCACCCGTCGGTGCCAATCTCCACCTTTGTCGTGGGTCACCTACATTACCTCTTCAACCTCACCCTTGCTGCCGATATCAATAACCTGGAGACCATCACCGTTTGCGCCATCGACAACACCGAGACTGCCTTAGCCGTCACCATGTTCCAAGCCACCAGCTCATCCGGATTCATCAACATCACGGATCTCAAAAGAGGCAAAATCGGCTTCGGAGCTGAAGACAACAACGGCGAACTCGCTGCCGCTAGATCCGTCTAGACCCACTAGTTGAAGAAACCGGCAGAGCCTGTCCCCGCCAGCTCAGCTCTGGTTCTGCCTATATTCGACGCGATGGCTCCCGGACCGTCCCTAACTCCGGCGCTTGCCCCTGGACCGGGAGGACCTCACAAACACTTCATCGTCGATCTGCTTATCTTCTTTATCGACGGCGTCTTCGATCCGCCACAGAATCCACAACCCATCATCGTCGGCGAAGTCCTCCTCCATCCGCTTCTCTAAATCTCTCAAGCTGTTTGCTCGACCACCACCACCACCGTGGAGCTCTCTCCGTGGTGGTGGTCGTTTCATATTCTCCGGCCTTGTTGCAGAGAGCTCCACGGAGGTGCGTGCGGCACGCGAAGAGAAGGCATTTGGGGGTGATGGTGATGTGGTCGTGGCGATGTGTTTGAGTAGATGTGGTTGTTCGTACACCTCTTAGGTGTTTGAAGGTGATAGTGTTTAGTGGTTGGTTTGTTAGGGTTAGGGTTTGGTGGCGGTGGTTGTTGGTCTGTTGTGGCCGTGGCAGTGAACGGACATTGTGGTGGCCGGTGTAGGTGTAATAAGGGTAAATGAGGTTACAGAGGGGAGGTATAACGAGGGTATACTTAGGGCAAAAGTGTTATTTAAGAATTCTAATATTTTATAATTTAAATTAATAAAAAATTGAAGAACAATTTTGACATTTTATATTTTTAAGGGGATATTTGGATTGAATTTCTGATAAGGGGGTGTCATTGTCAAAAAAAATAGGGCAATTTGTATCTGTGTGTCTTTTTGACAAACTTAGTGGGTGTTGCTGTCCTTTACCCTTTTTCTTCTTTTTCTTTTTCTTCTTCTTCTTTTTTTCATGGCAAAAATTCACACACTTATTTATACTTAAGAGAACTTAGACGATTAACATTTTACTTGTAAAAGTGGAGATTGAAGTACCACTAGGTTATCCTTTTGTAATACTGATTTTCAAAATTAAAGTCACATTTATAAATTAACAATATTAATTTAGGATTGCTCTGCTTTAAATTAATTAGAGTAGTGATACTCATACCGAATACTTGCAGTGAATTATCTAATTTAATAATTTTTAATTAGTTATTTATACCAAATATAACTAAATGGAGGACTCCAATTCCTTATTTGTTACATAATTAGTCAATTAAAAATGTAGATTTAGTAATTCACTATAAGTATTCAGTGCAAGAATCATTTCCCAATTACTTAATTATATCATATAAGAATATAAATCACACTAATTTGCAACGTTTGATTATTTCTTATGGTACTAAATGTTTTCAATTTTAAGATTCGGTGTATTGGTTCTTTGTTATTGCTACGAGAGATGAACTGTACTTTTTTTAATACTAATTTTTCTTCCTATAATTGATTTTTTTTTTTTATATATATATATTTAAAAAGCTTCATTCAATCCAGATGTTGGTGCATAGAAGTACAAAAAATTAATCTCACTTTTGTATTTTAAGATGAATGGTCGAATATTACTCCGATGAATGATAATTTTAACTTTTAAATTTGTTTCCATTGATTTGGCACTTCTATCTATAAATTACCTGCAATTATTTATTTTAATTTAGAATTTTCCTTCTTCACTTTATTTTCAAATTATTTTGATTTCTCATTGAACTATTCAGGTCGATACTCATGTGCTGATGACGAGTGTACATGGAAGGCGCGACAATGGCGCTCATGGTTGGTGGCTGTGGACCTAACCATGGACTTCAGTGCAACTTGGACCAACCAATATTGTTAAGAATTTGAATTGAAAAAATTCGATTCTAATTTTGGTTAGACTTAAATTCTTATTCGATTCCAAGCTCAACTTGTATCATGTTTAATAATAATATTATTGTTAAATATCACAAGTAAAGTTACTTACAATTGTGTAATGAGGGTCGGGACCATTCAAATTACATCTATCATTGTCAAGCAAGTTCCAGCAGCCAACCAAGTAGAAAGACCATTTGGAAGCAAATTTGGAGGCTACAAACTTTGAGGAAAATTCAACTCTTCCTTTTGTAGTACTGCCATGAACGCCTTCCAGTATTGTCGAACCGAAGAAGAGAGGTCCGGTTAATCAAGCTTCTTGTGTAATTTGTGGAGAAGAAGACGAAACAGTATGTCATGTGCTCTTTGATTGTCCTAGAGCTCGATTGGTTTGGAAAATTAGTCCCTTAAGGTTTCATTTCACAGGTAAGTGCCAAACATGAAGTGGTGTGAAACGCAAAGCATTTGGAAGGATTATCACAAGGTTAATCGTCTTATGAGCTTGGCATCTTTCTTGAGCTGGCAGATTTGGAAAGAAAGAAACAACTTGGTTTTTAATAAAATTGAATGGGATCCAGTGATGATTATAGAAAAAGCATTGTTCTTCTTTAATGAATTCAATGGTACTTTGTCGAAGGAAACCTCTAATGCATCGTCCACGGGTGGTGGTATTCATCATACTAATAGTTGGGTTAGTCCTGCTCTTGGTAGGTATAAATTGAATACAGATGCTTCCTTTCATAAGCTAACTCGTTATAATGGGTCTGGTTTGGTACTCCGTAATCATTGTGGAGAAGCTGTCAAGAGGTTGCAGAGGCTTTAGTATTCAGGGATGGTCTGAAACTTCTTGGTCAATGGGGGTATTCGAATGTGGATGTTGAGTGTGATTGCCAATCAGTTTGACCTTACCCCTACAGACCTTTTATGTTCAGTCATTATCGAGGATATCCAGTGTTTGATTCATCAAAACTTGGGGTTTAAGTTAATTTGGTGCCCAAGATTTTGCAACATAGCGGCACATGAGATGGGTAAATGGGCTCTTAGTCGAAGGATATGTGATTTGCAGTGGCAAGTGTGGCCTTCATGACTGTTAAATGTATTTTAGAAGGATCTTTCATCCTTGTTTTATAATATTTGTTGAATGTATTTCAGAAGGATCTTTCATCTTAGTATTTATAATATTTGATTACGTTAAAAAAATAAAAAAATAAAATTTATATCCTTCATAATTGGAAGAAAATCCTCTTATATTTTAACTTTTGCCGATCAAGAGAGGGGGAACACAAAAAAATTCTTAACTTTTTATTTTACTAGTAAAAGGCACGTGCGATGCACGTGATAGAATGTTTTCTAATTTATATAATTTATATTTTCATATATTTTTAATTGTTTATAGTTTTATAAATAAAAAAAAAAATAGACAAAACAGTTTCAGGCCCAGAATGCCTTAGAAAGTAATAATTGTCACCTCAAAATAAACAAAATAAGGTTTTTCATTGATGTATGAATGAAAACTATAAATATTTAAAAACTATATGAAAATAAAATTCTATAATTTATAAAATATTCATAAATAAATACTATATAAAATTTTTATGTATTATAAAATCCGAAAGGGTACCAACAATTTTTAGATTGTAATAATTGTTACCTCAAAAGAAACAAAATTTATTAGAAAATCCAAAACTATAACTGTATGAAAATAGAAGTATTTCTAAATTATTTATTTCTCAATCTTTATCTTTTTTACATATCTCATTTTTTTATAAAATGAATCATTGTCAAGTGTCAATTCTTTTAATTCTTCCACCGTAAAATAAGTTTTCATGACTTGTTGTTGAGTATTGTCTATCTTCGCCAGGAAAAAAAAAAAGATTTTCCTTTGCAACTTGTCACTTTGTTACTGAATTCATTCATGTCTTGCAAAAAGAACAAAAATAATTCATAACTATTGAGAATTAGAGCTGTTGAGAAATTCAAGTAAATATTGTTTTTAATTTAATTAAAATTTTATGAATAAGGGTGAAAAATTACACCAATTTGTAATTGTAGTAAATCATCTAGTGAACAATTTATTAATGGTTGTGCAACAAAATATAACTTCTCAATATATAAATTGAATATAAAAATATGATACACAATTAAGGAAGATTAAGAAATATACTGAAATTTAATACTTCAAAGAAATGTCTTGAAGTTTGACTTTTCAGCACTATTGAATTTTTGATCTTTTGTACTGAAAATCAAACTTGTTATATCTTTGTTATTTATGTTCACTTTGTACCTATCCACCTAAAATTATCTTATAAAATAATTAAATAAATAAAACAAGAAACATGTTCTCTTTCTACAAATAGTGTAATACAAATAGTATATATATAATGTAAAAGAAACTACAATAAATAACGAATCAATATCTTAATGCTTTGACACTTTCAATATTCATATTAATTTGCAATGTAGATCATTTTTGTGTTTGATGAGACCGACCTGGAATATATATTGTTATTTGTAAAAGTTTGTTATTATAGATTTACTTAATAATATATAATGTAAATAATATCAATTTGTATGATAATTTACCTTTGTATGTGTTGATTGCCACATGTGTAACTGTATTAGCTCCATGATAAAGTTTCCTTCATTCACATCAAGATCCTCCCATAACGTCAAAGTAATTGTCCATAAACTCTAATAAAGATTAATTACTTTAGTCATTATATTATATTTGCATAATTATGATTGTATATGTAATATGGTAATGACGTACCTCGTATCCATTATAATGACTTCCCACTTTTTGGTTGTGCCTTTATTATTCTTCTTACATATGTTCAATGAAGGAGATACCTTAATAACAATTCCCAAAGCATTTAGTAAGATTAAAAATAAAATATTAATGTTAATTCTATTATATATATATATATATATATATATATATGTATATGTATATGTATATGTATATGTATATGTATATGTATATGTACAAGAGAGGATATATATATGGAGAGTTGAGAATTAAACGAAAACTAACCCATATTTTCTCTTGCATCAATGTACTTGTTCAGCTCCTTGAAGTATACAAAATTAAATTTTATTGTTTATAAGCTTACTATTTCAAACTCCTCAACTTCAATTGAGATGTTATTAAGAAATTTCAATTCAACAACTTGAGTTCCGCCGTTCTGAATTCGGCCAGTCAAATAGTCAGTTTTTTCTCAGTTTCTTCAGGAGTTAAAATGTTGAGGGTTATTCTACAGAGAACATCATATTCGGAAGGTATAAGCCATGGACGTATAAAAGAATTCATAACTCAAAAAAATAATAAAACAATGCATGATCTGGGTATGAAATAAATAAAAATTAATAAAACAATGCATGATCTGGGTATGAGACAAATAAAAAATAATAAAACAATGCATGATATGAATCTGGGGATAAAACAATGCATAATCAGGGGGTTACACGTATCTTGGAAAAAAACATATAAAACTGATGTGATTACAGGAATGCAAAAAAAGACTTATATATAGGGAGAGTATAGATTTTTTTAAAAACAATAAATAGATAAAATAGGTAACTTAAATTTTATTAGGAAATAATTTTTAGAGTTTTATAGAAACTCTTTTTTAGAGTTTCTATAATTTGAAATATATTTTGTATTAGAGTTTTAATAAATATTTTATTTGAATTTTATTAGGTAATAATTTTTAGAGTTTCTATAATTTGAAATATATAATTTGAAATTTATTTCGTGTTAGAGTTTTAATAAATATTTTATTTCAATTTTATTAGGTAATAATTTTTATATTCTATTTGAATTTTATTAGGTAATAATTTTTAAAGTTTCTATAATTTGAAATGTATTTTGTGTTAGAGTTTTAATAAATATTTTATTTGAATTTTATTAGGTAATAATTTTTAGAGTTTCTATAATTTGAAATATATTTTTGTGTAGCAAAGCAAAAAAAGACTTATATATAGAGAGAATACATATATTTTTAGAAACAACAAATAGATAAAATAGGTAATTTGAATTTTATTAGGTAATAATTTTAGAGTTTTATAGAAACTCAAATATTTTATTTGAATTTTATTAGGTATTAATTTTTAGAGTTTCTATAATTTGAAATGTATTTCGTGTTAGAGTTTTAATAAATATTTTATTTGAATTTTATTAGATAATAATTTTTAGACTTTCTATAATTTAAAAAGGTTAACCAAAAGGCCGAGAAAGTAGTACTACACTTGACCTTAGCCAAAAGGTCGAGAAAGGTTAGCCAAAAGGCCGATCCAAAAAAAATTTAGTACTACACTTCATCATAGTCAAAAGACAGAGAAAGGTTAACCAAAAGGCCGAGAAATGTGTGATTATTATTTCTTTAGGTTTATAGTTTTATAAGAGGTTTTTATGTAATCCTTTTTACTTAATACAAATGTGGACAAAAAAATGAATTTTATTAGGTAATTTGTAATTTGAATTAAACTCTTTAAATTAATTTTTATAAATTTTATTAGGTAATTTGTAATTTGAATTAAACACTTTAAATAATTTTTAGGTAATTTTTTGTTTATAAAAACTATTTGTTTATATTAATAAATAAATACTGAAACTCTTTTTATAAAGGCTGAGAAAGTAGTACTACACTTGATCTTAGCCAAAAGACTAAGAAAGGTTAGCCAAAAGGCTGACCCAAAAAAATTTAGTATTACACTTAATCTTAGCCAAAAGGCCAAGAAATGTGTCATTATTATTTCTTTAGCTCTATAGTTTTATAAGAGGCTTCCATGTAATCATTTTTACTTAAAACCAATGTAGGACAATAAAATTGAATTTTATTAGGTAATTTGTAATTTGAATTAAACTCTTTAAATTAATTTTATAAATTTTATTATGTAATTTGTAATTTGAATTAAACATTTAAAAATAGTTTTTCGGTAATTTTTTGTTTATAAAAACTCCTTTTTTATATTAATAAATAAATACTGAAAGCCAAAAGGCCGAGAAAGTAGTACTACACTTGATATTAGCCAAAAGACCAAGAAATGTTAGCCAAAAGGCTGACCCAAAAAAATTTAGCACTATACTTGATCTTAGCCAAAAGGCCAAGAAAAGTGTAATTATTATTTCTTTAGATTTATAGTTTTATAACAGGTTTCCATGTAATCATTTTTACTTAAAACCAAAGTAGAACAAGAAAAATGAATTATTAGGTAATTTGTTATTTGAATTAAACTCTTTAAATTAATTTTTATAAATTTTATTAGGTAATTTGTTATTTGAATTAAACTTTTAAAATAATTTTTAGGTAATTTTTTGTTTATAAAAACTATTCTTTTATATTTATAAATAAATACTGAAAGCCAAAAGGCCGAGAAAGTAGTACTACACTTGATCTTAGCTAAAAGACCAAGAAAGGTTAGCCAAAAGGGCAAAAAAGGTGTGATTATTATTTCTTTAGGTATATAGTTTTATAAGAGGTTTTCATGTAATTCTTTTTACTTAAAACCAATGTGGGACAAGAAAAATAAATTTTACTAGGTAATTTGTAATTTGAATTAAACTCTTTAATGTAGTACTACACTTGATCTTAGCCAAAAGACCAAGAAATGTTAGCCAAAAGGCCGACCAAAAAAAATTTAGTATTACACTTGATCTTAGTCAAAAGGGCGAGAAATGTGTGATTATTATTTCTTTAGGTCTATAGTTTTATAAGAGGCTTTCATGTAATCATTTTTACTTAAAACCAACGTGAGATAAGAAAAATGAATTTTATTAGGTAATTTGAATTAAACTCTTTAAATTAATTTTTATAAATTTTAATAGGTAATTCGTAATTTGAATTAAACTCTTTAAATAATTTTTAGGTAATTTTTTGTTTATAAAAACTCTTTTTTTATATTAATAAATAAATACTAAAATACTGAAAGGCCGAGAAAGGTGTGATTATTATTTCTTTAGGTTTAAAGTTTTATAAGAGGCTTCTATGTAATCATTTTTACTTAAAACTAATGTGAGATAAGAAAAATGAATTTTATTTGGTAATTTGTAATTTGAATTAAACTCTTTAAATAATTTTTAGGTAATTTTTTGTTTATAAAAACTCTTTTTTTATATTAATAAATAAATACGAAAATATTGAAAGGCTGAAAAAGGTGTGATTATTATTTGTTTAGGTCATAGTTTTAATAGAGGCTTCCATGTAATCCTTTTTTACTTAAAACCAATGTGGGATAAGAAAAATGAATTTTATTATATAATTTGTAATTTGAATTAAACTCTTTAAATAATTTTTAGGTAATTTTTTATTTATAAAAACTCTTTTTTATATTAATAAATAAATACTGAAAGCCAAAAGGCCGAGAAAGTAGTACTACACTTGATTTTAGCCAAAAGACCAAGAAAGATTAGCCAAAAAGGCCGACCAAAAAACATTTAATACTACTTTCTCGGCCTTTTGGCTAACATTTCCCATTATAAGCCCTAGGGTTTTTTTGTTTGCTTTGTTTTAAAGGTAAGTTAGAAACTCTATAAGCATTATTATTTTACCTATATAACAATATTAAAGTAACAAATGAATTTGATTAGAAGGATAGTTGCAATGCTGAAGAAACGAAGATGAGGGAAAAAAAAAAAAAAAGAGCAAATTTATTTCAATAATAAATAAATTATGGTCTTAAATAGGGCGGGGTAAGTACCCGCAGGAGTAAAAATGTTAAATGGGGGCGGGGATGGGGTGGAAAGTTTCCCCGTTTTTGTGGTTTTGGACGAGGATGGGGACGGGGTTTTGAATTGGTTATGGGGACGGGTGAGGGTACACCCGTCCAAACCCGCCCCCGTTGGCATCCCTAACAATGGTGAATTGACTTTATTATCATGAGCGGAGCCAAGATTGTATGGTTGGGGGCCAAAATTGTAAGCAAATTTACTATCTCATATAAAACTATTTTAAGCCGAAATTTTTTTTGTATCGATTATAATCATACAAAATCTATCTAGACATACTTTTGTCACTTTGTTTTAAAAAAACAAAAATTGGAAAACATTGTTACCAAATATATATATATATATATATATATATATATATATATATTATCGATCTTCATCTCCCCAAACAACATAACATCACCAACTAAACCAAAAACAGAGAGCAAGAATAAGAGTTTCTGGAAAAATAACTAAATAAGTGAAAGAAAGAGATAGAGAATGAGGGTGGAATAGAATTTTGTCTTTGTGCGGAAATTCTTCCCACAAGAAAGAAAAAAAACCAAAATTTGTGGAGAAAACAAAATGTGGGGCAACTTGCTTTAAGAGAAAAATGCAATGATTTTTGTTTTCTTTTCAGAAGAGCAATTAAGATTTAAGAGTAAAATTGAAAATCAAATATAAAAATAACAAAACAAATTTGCAAATCAAAACCAAAATCAAAACTGGTCTCAAGGATGAAAAGCAAAAGCAATGGAAAAAACCAAAGCAGATAGGATTGTGAAGAAACCAAAAAGCAAAGGACAAAGACACAAAAGCAGATGGTAATGGGATAAAAGCAAGGAAAGAAAAATACAAAAGTAGATATGTGCTACTGCCATGCATATTTAGACATATATAAATAATATAAACCATCTTTCTGGCCCAACTGTATATACTAACCTTTGCTAATTTCATTTTGGGCCTATACTTAAAAAAGAAATTCAAAAATCTAGCCCCCTTGCCTCGCCTATTTATTACCCTTTATATAAGATTGACAAATACAATTGGTTTAAATATTCTTGGATCAAATAAGTTTAAATGAGTTATCGAGTACAGCTTATCTAAAAAATTTAAATTTTCTTCCAAACCACCATACACCCAGACTAGCCCAAAGATTCGACCGGCCATGACATCCACCACCCAAACCTATATACATTTATAGAGCGGTGCTACACGACCCGACTGTATTGCACCCGACATCTACCGACTCATCTACGTGGCTGTCCACGTTGTCATCTTCTCTCTGACTCATCCATAGCCCTTGCCGCCATCTTTCCTCAACCAAAATCGCCTCCATCATCTCCTTCCTTATACCGCCACAACTTATCAACCACAACCGCCGCCATCACTTCTCCTCCACTGCAGCGGCCGCCGCCATCTCTCTCCACACAGTATCACCCCTTGGGTTCCATAACCACCACATCTTTTCTCCCTCTATTTCTTCTGCGTTTTATATACGTACATATATTTATATACACAGGCCCATACACACATATATCCAATTGAAATCATATACTACCCAAACGGAGACGATGGATTCTTTGGATTGCTTTGATTACCACTTGCTGGGTTTGGCTTCAGCTTCAGCGAGAACGTGAGCCGGATCATGAAGGCGCTGCCGGTGAATGCGAAGATCTCGAAGGATGCGAAGGAGACGGTACAAGAGTGCGAGTCGGAGTGCATCAGCTTCATCACCGACGAGGCCTCCGACAATTTGCTTTTTGCTTTTAGCCCATTTGTTTCCTCAATTTGAACATCAATTTCAACAAGAAGCTAGCTCAATTTCTTCTCTAACAACACAATTTCAGACTCTCTCTTCCCCTTCTCAATCTCACTCTTCTCCCTCACAACTTCCCTCATTTCTCTTTCTAGTTTCTGCAATCTCCCTTCACTCTCTGCTCTTTCTCTCACAAACCCATTTCTCTCCTCCGCAATCACTTCAACCTGTTGATTGACATGCACAGAAACAAATTCAGAAACCAAGTTCCTCTTCAACTCCGGTCCCTTTTCCGTTTCAGACCGTGTTATCTCCGATTCCAAAGACCATTTTTCCTGGGGGAATGAATCCAGTTGTTTGTGGCTCTCAGTGGTCTCCTTGAGAAGAATACTGTTTGGGGTGGTTCGGTGGAATTAGTGGCGGCTGTGGTTGGGGGCGGTAAGAGGAGGAAGAGAGAGAACAAAGAAAGGACAAATGAGAGAGAATAATTGGACGAAGCTCTGGCCTCTGGGATCAACCCGTGTCGTCCTTTTGGCACAATCCTCGGCATGAAGCTCGGACTGATCTGGAGTACTGTGAAGGCAGAGAGATGAGAGGCCCTGCAAGAGAGAGAAAGGAGAAAAATGAGAGGATTGAAAGAGATGAGAGAGAGTAAAGTTGTCTGCCTAGCTATACCAATCAACATTTGACAAGTTGTTGTCGGTTAAAGTCGGGTGAACAGTAATCGGGTCATTTAGCATTTCTCGTATTTATATATATATATATATATATATATATATATTGTTCACCTACTCATTGGTGTGCAAGAAAATGTATACACACCTCAAGTATTAATAATTAAATTTTATTGGACAATTAAAAAGGTAATTTAAGAGTTTTGATACTTTAACATTTAAATTAATAAAATATTAAAGGACAATATTAACTTTTTATAATTTTTAAAAGGTTGTTTGGATCCAATTTTTGACAGGAATGTCATTGTCAAAAAATGAACAACTTGTGTGTCACTATGTCAAACTTTTGAGGTGTTATTGTACTTTATCTTATTTTTGAAGCTAAAATATATATATATATATATATATATATATATTTATTTATTTATTTTAAAGTTACTTGTCAATATATATACCAAGTATATTTTAAATATTATGAGTACATAATACATGTATGCATCGACGTGGCCTTACTAAATGATGATCAAAGCTTGAGGAGTTGTAACCAAACAAGGGCTTTCTCTTTCTTGATCCCTCTGGATAAGCGTTTCTTTTCCCTCATTTTACCATTCCGATCTTTACAAGTTCAACCCTATCCTTTACAGCAGGTACCTTTTTATTCTTCGCTGCTGTTTGTTCTGTTTCTTGTAGTGTTCTGTGATGCGGGTGTATATATAATTCAATTTTTTATATGCAATTTGGGGTTTTAATCATAGAAGATGAATGCTTGCAGCTTAAAGAATTATTTTCTTGGGAAAAGTTTAGAAGAAAATAATTTATTTCTAGACAAACAGATTAGTGCAAAACAAATTGGTCTTTGTTTAATGCCTCTGTAGCCATTCTGGGTACTCTCTACTTTTTCCGGCCCTTAATCTGAACTTCCTTGAATTGAAGAAGTCGTGGTTAAATTCCAGCAAGTGTATATTTAAAGAAGTTTTAATTTTTCGCTTAAAAATTTATGCATTTTCGGCCAAATTGATAGGAACTAGGGCTCCGATGGTTTGGATGTAAAATATATATTTTTATTTTTTTGGAGTTTGGTTGTTGTAAAATATTAAAAAATATTACAACCTAACAAAAATAATTTACCCATCAATTTTTAGCAAGTAATTTAATACGCCCCACCTGATGCACTACCTTTGCTAAACACCAAAAAAAAAAGAAAAGAAAGTATTTTACCTGAAAACGGAAAATGTTTTTTGAGGAAAGTATTTTAGGTGAGCCCAAGTTTACTGATTTTTTTTCCCAAAATGGTAGAAAAGGCTGGATTTCAAAGAATGCGTTTCTAATTGCAATTTGATCTCTTTGTCCAAATCTAAATAGGGTCAAGAATTCAAAACTTTCGCAATATTTTTTTTTTGATAAATCAAAACTTTCGCAATATTTAAACCTTGACTGAGAGTTCTTAAGCTGAAATTCTATGTTATTTGGTTCATCATGAGATTGTGTATATTATATTAAGGGGTGCTTGAATTGGTTCTTATATGGAACAATGAGTTGGGATTGCCTAAATTTGTAGCCTTAAGTTTGAAAATTTCTAACTTTGGTAGGAATTGGAAAGATAGGGCAGATGTGTGGGTAAATACTGTTTTAGTGTTATTTACTTGCAACTTACTCAACTGATCTTTTACATTGTTGATCAAATTCTTTATATAAATAAATATTATTTTAACGCACCTAATATGATTTTTTTGATGAAATAGTTCTTTAAGAGACAAAAACTGTTCTTAAGTCAAATTTCAAATAAGTAAGAATCTTTATCACCAATCAGCCAATCACTGTTGTTGTAATAGAAATGCAGTGTTGTGCATCAAAATACAATTGAACATATCTTTCCTCGAAGAATGATGGAATGTGATTAAGTGGAAGACACTTAAAAGAAAGTCACTGATGTTAGATAATTAATGATGATACAAGTGATGAACCGTATTGTATTGAGTCTCTTAACTGTTTGTCTCTGGATTAGTAAGAAAACAGGAGTTGACAGATAAAGGAAGCTAGCAATAAAATCTCCACTTGAGATATTAACTTTCAGCCTGTATGAAAATATATGACTTGTATTGGTCAGGGAGCATTAGGCATTATTACAGTTATAATCTTATTACAATACCTTTCATTGTAGGCTTTCTTAAAATTAGGTAAGGGAGCATAGCAGGAATGGGTGAGGACTCTTGCAGCAGCAGTGACAATTTGAGGGCTAATTGGACGCCATCCATGGACCATTACTTCATTGAACTTTTGCTAGATCAAGTGCGCAGAGGGAATAAGACTGGTAATTTATTTAGCAAACAAGCATGGGCAGAGATGATTGCACTCTTTAATAGCAACTTTGGATTCAGGCACGATACAGATGTTCTGAAAAACCGATACAAAAGATTGAGGAAATTATACAATGATATAAAGATCCTTAACCAGAATGGGTTTAGCTGGGATGTAAAGCAGCGAATGGTAACAGCTGATGATCATGTGTGGGATGATTATATCAAGGTACGGACTTCATTGCTTTTTTCCTAATTCAGCGCATGAGATTTCAGATTTAAATTACTGTGAACATCACGTGCAGGTTCATCCTGACATGCTAACATATAGAACAAGAGTTGTGCCATATTATGATGAGTTGTGCATGATATGCGGGCATGCAGTTGCTGATGGAAGATACAGCCTCTCATGTTTTGATATAGACTATGACAATGAAGGTATGTCAGGATAGAATTGATGACTATCCATCAATGTAAAATTGTTGACGAGTATCAGGAAAGATGACGTGTTCTGATTTTAAATTACGTTCTGTAACTTGTAGCTAAAACATTGGATGATCAGAATCCCTCCAAAAATGATCATACCAAAATTGAATGGTCACAGACAATGGATGAGCACTTTATTCAACTTATGCTGAAGCAGGTGCATAAAGGGAATAAAATTGGCCGTACTTTCAAGAAGAAAGCATGGGTCCATATGGTCACGGAGTTTAACACGAGATTTGGATTTCAGTATGGTAAGGTTATCTTGAAAAACCGTTACAATATTTTGAGAAGGCAATACTGTAGCATAAAGTTTCTTCTTGGTCAAAGAGGGTGTAGTTGGGATAAAACACAGCAAATGGTGATGGCTGATGATCGTGTGTGGAATACTGTTTTTAAGGTAAAAATGCTCTTTTATGAAGAATTTTTATGACTTGATAGTTGCAGGTAGCTTACTAGTTTTAAATGCAGGCACGCCACTTTCGGAAGTACAGAAATAAAGCCATACCATATTATATTGATATGTGCATCATATGTGGGAATGAAACCGATTGTGTGAGAGAGAATATAGCATGTCCCAATTTAAGTTCTGAGAATGAAACACCAGGGAAAAATACCGGTGGCGCTGCTATGCTGATTGTTAACAAAAATATGATGGATGAGGCACACGAAGAGACGTCAGAACGCAGCAATGATAAGAATTTAGCTGATCAACGGAAAAGGCGTCAATCTGATATTGCACAAACCTTTGGAAGGTCTAAAAAGGTTCAAAGAGTGGATAAGGGTATGTCGGATGTGCTGCGAGAGATGAGTGTGGCTATTACAACATTAAGAAAGGAGGACAGTGAGAACTCTACGTCAACAAAGAAAGTTATTGGTACACTCCAGGCCATGCCAGACATGGATGAAGATCTCTTGTTGGATGCTTGTGATTTTTTGGAGGATGAGAGAAGAGCAATGATGTTTCTAGCATTGGATGACACACTGCGAAAGAAATGGTTATTGAGGAAACTTCGTCCTTAGTTAACATTTACTGTATCTGACCATTTGTTGAAGAAAATGTATATCACGAAAACTTTTGATTCATTAAATTTGTTGATGCTATATTTTCATCGCATTGTTAAATTTGTTCCCCGTGACATTGGGCGAAGTTGGTAGTTATTGAAGCAGTTATATCTGGTTAATGGATGCACTACATGTTTCATGTTCATGGTTAGTCTATAAGGTGTCCCAATAAACCTGAGTAAGTAAGAACAGGAGAGGTCACGGAAAAAAAACAAAACACTTATTGATGCGTCTGGGAGCAATCGACATTTTAGATTTAACTAGAAGAAACTTAGTTTCAAATTTAAGGAACAGATCTTCTAAATATAAATTCAAAGTCTCATTTTAGTGCTTCTAAATATAGCATTAGAATTATGCAATACTGGGATTTGGGGTTGCTATTATTCCAGATTATGATTGTTGTTTTCGTAGGGTTAGAATCCCAAATCAAGTGTTTAGTTCATGGGGTAAAAGATAATTCTTTTATTGTGTGGTTTGTATATACTACCCATATAAAATGGATTCAAAATTTATTTTTATATAAAAAATGATATATAAATCGAATGGGGTAAATAATGTTCACTATTCTTTTGTGAAGCACACAATCCAGTATGCTTGTATAGCATTGTTCTTTTATAAAATATACAATTAATTTAATTTTTATGATACTTGTTTGGAAGGAGAACAAATTAAAAACATAATTATCCTTTAAGAATCGAGTCAATTTTAGAACACCCATTAAAATATTATAATTTTTGGCACAACCACAAGTTACATCGGGCATATAATTTTCGGGATACACTGATCCGTTGTTATTTTTTTTCTATAATTTATTAATTTTTTTTGGTTTAACACGCATAATTAGAAAATCGATGCTAAGAATCTAGAATGGTACTTATCGAAATAGTCTTCAAACTAAAAAATAAAATATCTCAAATTTGTATCAAAAATTCAAAAAATAAAATAAGAAAAACATTATTAGCATTCATCTTTTGATTTGTTTTAATAAACTAATCTTATTCACGTAATTTATTTTTATTTATTTTTTAAAAAATATCATTTTTGATACTGTGTGCTACAGCGCTACGGTGGTTTAGCACACCGCGGTCCGAATCGGTAACCCGGCCCAATTGGCGATTTGCCCTCGGGCCCTCAGGTACTCACCTTCCTTTAACGTTGTCGTTTGACAAAATTTGTAGGTTTCTATTTTCTGTAGCCGATTCGAAGCTGGTCTGCGTTGCGAGTGAAGCTCTTCCACTTCTCCGACGAGTCACTGGCGAAATCGCCAGTCAGGTACACCTCTTGGTCTTGTCCTTCGCCCGTATCATCATCAAATTTATAGACACATATATGTGTTCATATACATCTAAAATGTGAGTTTTTGGTAGAAAATGGTAAATTTTTGTTGGCTAATCTTTCATAATTTCAGCTGCGTCTTTGGTATTGTGTCTTCTGGGTTTTGGGTTCTAAAGGGAAAAATAAAAAATGAAGAAAATAACCAACTTGACATTTTTTTTTACTTTACTTATAATGTTGTATTGGGCGGCTTACACTCAGATTAGTTTATGTATATTTAACATTTTAAACTTTATTGTTGAAAGAATGCTAACTAGGAATATAAGAGCTCACTTTAAAGTTCTTCATTTGATTATTGTTTGTTTTTCTGGTTTGCGTTTACAATTGTGTCCCACGTGTTTGATGAAATGCCAGTTAGTCCCGTGTGGGAAATTTTGTTGTAATATAACAGTGTCACTCTTTTTTGTAGATGATCTGATATTATCTTGGTGGAATTTCTTTGTTAAAAAATCTTTTAAGTATGGTGGGCTGGCAGAGACATTTGCAATCCATACTTCGTCAAGTTGGGAAAAGAGTTGAGCATAATTACAATGCACCTGTCAACTTCTCTTCTTATCACTCAAGATCCAACTCCGTGCTAGGTAATTCAATGTCAAGTCTCTTTGTGGAAGAATTTTGCAGAATCTTCTACCCATGATGATATAGAAATCTCATTTTAAATTTGAATAAAAATTTATTTACTAGGTTGTTGGGAAAGAAACAATGTAAGTTTGATGTTCTATGTTAGGGAAAAAAACACTCTTCAATTTTTTTTTGCCCACAACTAAGCTTTTGTTTTGAAAATGCATTCACTCATATGCACTATAATCATTTCCCCCTTTTCATGCATCGTCAAAGTGCTCTCTGGCCATTGGCCATTCATGAAGATTAACATGATAATTTTTGCAGGTGAATTGCCTTATTTTCATAGCTTAAGGAGTCCACCTTCTACAGGCATCTCAAGGCCTTTTTATCATTATCTACAACAATTGGTAATGCTGACATGTCCTCGTATTACTCTTTATTTACAACAATTGGGAATGCTAACATGTCCTATTATTACTTTTTATGAACTAGAAATCATTTTTTTGAACATAAACCTAGAAGAGAGAAGAATTTTTCTGTCCTATTTCTAAAAAGTTTAGTGCACTCTTCTGAGTTCATGCCCCATGTGATTTTCTCTCAGCAGATATATATGCTAGTGATTAGTTTTTGCCTGGGTTGGGCGTGGCAGAGTTCACTTGAAGGATATTAAAAGAAAAAAAAATCATCTAGATTGGTGATTTAGATTGCTTTTTTTAACTTGGTTGTATGCATGTCTTTTCCTTCACAGGCCAATTCTATGATTTATTTTTCTTTGGTGAGCTAATTGTAAGATTTTATTATTTCTCTGATTAAACAATAAAAAATATTGTATAGGGGCTTCCGCTCCTTAAAATATGTTATTTTATTTCATTTCTACATTATAAAATTGTTGAATTTTTTCTCCAAGTTTTCTTAGTTAAACTTTCAGTTTGTCTGATTTTCCGTTGTTCCAGGAATTTTCCAGTTCAAGAAAGTTACTTGCAGATTCGTCTGATGCAACACCCATTCCTTCTCCATTGACACCTGTTTTGGCATTAAACAGTGGGAAAGCTGAAGAGCAAAAAGCAATCTCTAAACCTTCAAAAGTTCAAGCAGTTCTCAAATGCATAAAACAGGTGTGAGATGCTACTTTCTATTTTGCATCTTTATTGATACCACAGCCTCAATCAAGACACTTTCTTTCCTTTTTGATAAGTCATGGCCTCAATCAAGACACATGTTATCATATCTTTCTTTACTAACTCCACCCCTGTTAATTTTGGTCTTCTCCTTTCCCTAGCTTTATTATCAATGTAGACCATGTCACTCTTCTTAACTGCGCACTTAGTGGTCTTACTTTGCATATTTTCAAACCATCATAATCGTTTTTCTCCCATTTTTATCTCCAATTGGTGCTACTTCAACTATTTCATGAATGTGTTGATTTCTGTTCTTTATCATGAGAGACAGAGAGAAAGAGAGAAAACTTGTACTATATTTCACACTTCTACAACCTAATAAGCCTACACAGGCTTATATAAAGGATACAAGTGACCTTAATAACACAAGGACCCTACTAACATAATGTAATTACATAATGGCCAACACATATATATATAACATTCTAACACTCCCCCTCAAGCTGGAGAATATATATCAAATAATCCCAGTTTGGAACAGATAGTTCTTAACCAGTTATGACCCAATGCTTTGGTAAACATATCAGCTAATTGATCTTCAGACTTCACGAATGGAGTAGAGATGCTCCCACGTAATATCTTTTCTCGAATGAAGTGACAATCAACTTCAATATGTTTGGTCCTCTCATGAAACACAGGATTTGAGGCAATGTGAACTGCTACTTGATTATCACAGAACAATGGAGTAGGAGCTTCAATTGTCAACCCAAGTTACTTTTAGAAAATGTTGTATCCAGGTCAACTCACTAGTAGTATGGGTCATTGCCCTATACTCAGCTTCAACACTAGATCGAGCTACCACCGTTTGCTTTTTATTTTGCCATGTAACAAGATTTCCTCCTACAAATGTGCAGTAGCCTGTAGTAGATCTCTTATCGGAAGGAGAACTAGCCCAGTCGGCATCTGTAAAACCTTCCACCCTGAGATGACCATTTGATTTATATAGTAACCCAAAACCTGGAGCTTGCTTGAGATACTGGATAATCCGAAGAACAGCAATCCAATGTGACATTCTAGGAGCTCCCATGAATTGACTTATAACACTAATTGCATATGAAATATCAGGTCGAGTGATAGTGAGATAAATTAATTTTCCAACAAGGCGACGAAATCTGTCCAGATCATTAAATAGATCACCCTCATCAGACACAAGTTTTGTATTCGAATCCATAGAAACATCAATCGGGCGACCACCCAACATATCTGTTTCTTCTAATAAATCCAACACATATTTTCGTTGGGATAAACTTATACCCTTCTTGGATCTAGCAACTTCAATATCCAAGAAATACCTAAGTTTACCCAAGTCTTTAGTGTGGAATCAATATTGCAGAAACAACTTCAACTTAGCAATGCCTTCAGAATCATCACATGTGATCACAAGATCATCTACATATACCACAAGAAAGATGAAGCCAACTTTAGTGCGCTGGTGAAATACCGAATGGTCAGTCTGACATCTATTAAGACCAAATTTTAATGCCGCCTTAGAGAATTTTCCAAACCAAGCCCGTGGAGATTGTTTCAATCCATATAGGGCCTTTTTAAGGCGACAAATAGTGTGAAGAAACTCCCCCTGAGCAACAAACCCAGGTAGTTGCTTCATATAAACCTCTTCTGCTAAGTCACCATGCAAAAAAGCATTTTTAACGTCTAACTGAAACAGAGGCCAATGTCTATTAGTAGCAAGAGAAATCAAAACACGAATAGAAGAAATCTTAGCAACAGGGGCAAACGTCTCATCATAGTCAATTCCATAAGTCTGGGTATAACCTTTGGCAACAAGATGGGCTTTTAAACGCTCAACGGACCCATCTAGAAGATATTTCACAGTGTATACCCAGCGACAACCAACCGGTTTGACACCTGGAGGTAATGGAACAAGATTCCACGTGCCATTCTGATGCAAAGCATCCATTTCATCTTGCATTGCTTTCCTCTAGCCCGAATCAGACAAAGCATCCTGCACAATCTTAGGAACAAATGTAGTAGACAATTGAGAGGAAAAACATGAAAAGGGTGGCGATAAGGAATTATAAGAGACATAATGAGCAATGGGATGATTAGTGACACACGAGCGAGTACCTTTACGAAGTGCAATAGGCAAGGAATCAGATACAGTGGACGGTGTTGGATCCAAAGACTCTGAAGACGATGGAGGAGGCACAACAGCAGATGGCTTTGGTCTTCGAGTGTACTCCTGTAACAGGGCAGGCAAAGGAGATCTAGGTTGAAGAGAAAGTGAGGAAAGTGGAACTGCAGGAAGAGGCGACTCAAGAGTAATATCAAGAATTGAATCACTATCTGAAAAATAGGGGACGAACTCACAAAAGGTCACATCCGCGCTAATAAAGTACCATTGAGAAACAGGACTATAGCAGCGATAACTTTTATGAGAACGAGAGTATCCAAGAAATACACACTTTGTGGCACGTGGGTCAAGTTTATCAAAGCCAGGACCAAGATTGTGGACATAACATACACATCCAAAAACTCTAGGAGTAAGAGAAAACAAAGGAGAATCAGGAAATAAAATAGAATATAGAGATTTGCCATCTAATATAGATGACGGCATACGGTTAATAAGATGGCAGGCAGAAAGAACAGCATCACCCCAAAACCGTTTAGGCATGCGCATATAAAACAAAAGAGCACGGGTTACTTCTAAGAGGTGTCGATTCTTACGTTCTGCAACTCCATTTTGTTGAGGAGTATAAACACATGAATTTTGATGAATAATTCCTTTATCACTAAGATAGTATCAAAGGGGGTTGAAGAATATTCCTTAGCATTATCAGAACGTAAAATACGAATTGGGCAGCCAAACTGAGTTTTGATTTCTTTTCGAAATTTTTGAAAAATTAAAAATAACTCATAACGATCTTTCATCAGAAACAACCAAGTCATGCGAGAATAATCATCCACAAATGTCACAAGATAATGAAATTTATTGATTGAAGAATGCTTTATTGGACCCCATACATCTGAATGAACCAAATGAAAAGGACTAGAGACACGATTATTAACCCTAGACTTGAAAGACACGCGATGGTGCTTACTAAGTTGACAAACTTCACATGACAAGAATTTCAAATTACTAAGACTAGGAACTTGACGCTGCAAAACTTGAAGTGACGGGTGACCAAGACAACAGTGCCACTGGAATGGAGACAGAGAAGACTGAAGAGCCACAAGATAAGGTGCCAAATCAAAGTAATATAAACCACCAGCTTCATACCCCGTACCAATCTTCTTCTTCGTCTTGAGATCCTGAAACACACAAAAAGTAGGATAAAATGTAACAATGCACTGAAGAGATTTAGTAAGCTTACTGATAGACATTAAATTAAAGGGAAACTGAGGACCATATAAAACAGACGAGAGAGACAAGGAACCATTAAGTTGAGTTGTCCCCAAATCTGAAACCTTAGCGGAGGAACCATTAGCAAGGGTAACTCTTTGAGAAGGAGGTACAGAATTAAAATCAAATAGAAGAGAAGAACATCCAGTCATATGATCGGATGCTCTAGTGTCTATGATCCAAGGACTACAAGTGGAAGACAATAGACATGTGTGTGCAGTACCTGACGGGTAAAGGTAGCCGTGGAAGATGAATTAGATGCTTGCTTATAAGACAAAAACTGAGCATACTCATCACGTGGAACAGGGACCGTATCTGATTCTGCTACATTGTGAGATCCAGAAGCAACATCATTCGGAGAGGAGGAAACTTGATTTGCATAACTAGATGGTTTGCGATGAAGGTCCCAACAAAAATTCACAGTATGATTAGAAAGGCCACAATGAGTACATTTTCGTGATTCCCTGCCACGGCCATGTCCTCCCCGTGAATCACAACCGCCACGTGTGAAGCGTCCCCCATGACCTCCACAGAAAATAGTATTTTCACCCTTTGAAACGATCAATGTTGAACGCTCACCACTCTGTCCAGCATTCAAAGTTGAGGTATCACTGACAAGTGTAGCGCGCTGAAGTCTAGAAAACACATCAGTAAAAGATGGAAGTGTGGGACTGCCCATAATCTGTGAACGAAAAGACTCATAAGCGGATGACAAACTAGTAAGAAAACGGACAACATTAAAGTCCTCACGTTGTTGTTGTATACTTCGAACATCAGCAGTAATGGGCTGATACATATTCAGCTCCTCACAAACACCCATAACTTTGTAATAATACTCTTCTATATTATGATTACCTTGTTTAAGATTAAAATACTGCTTACAAAGCTTATAAACACGAGTGATATTACCTGTCCCAGAATACAGTTGCTGCAATCTGTCCCATATCTCCTTGGCAGTATCCAAATGAAGTAAAGTGGAACTGATTTGGGGTTCAATACTGTTTATCATCACAGAGATGATCTGAGCATCTTCCTTTTCTCATGCATCAAAAGAAGCATCAGTTTCCTTGAGTTTCTCTTTAATCAGACGAGTACCAAGGCCTCTACCTTTGAGAAAAATTTTAACAGATTTAGCTCACAGTATATAATTCTTCCCATTGAGTTTAACGGATGTCATGGGAGAATGAAGATCGGATATGGGAGAAAACAAATCTGAACTGGAGGCCATGTTTAACCTAGCAAAACAGAGAAGAAAAAAAAAAAACAGAATTGGTATTCTGGCCGAACCTGGCAAACGGGCTGGATCTGGTTGATTTGGTCAAACGGGTCGGATTTGGTCAAGCGGGCCGGATCTGGGCTATCCTAAGTTTAGTAAACCAGGGTTGGAATAGCTATTCCGAGTTTAGTAAACCAGGATTGGAATAGCATAATCGTGTGGCCAAACAAGGGTCTTCTTTTTCACACCTTTACAAACGCCGGTGAACAACGCAGCGGAGACGACGACAACTCAATCACAAGCAACGGCCGAATCAATAAGCAGCGACTGCTGCAACTTCCGGTCAAAAAAGATGAACCTCACCTCTGCAAATCGAGATTGCAGATGTCGGCGACGAGCTTGCTGACAACCAAAGAGGAGCTGCCGGCAACGATGAACAAGGCAGAGATGACGACGAACAAGCTTCAGATTTGACGACAACGATTGAGGCTGCAGATCTGACGACGACGGTGAACGATCTTCAGATCTGACGACGAACAAGGAACTGCCAACAGACCACCAACACCACAATCGCGATGCCGATCTCATACAAGAACAACCCAATTACAGACTCTCACACCCATGATCGTGTTGCTCTGATACCAAGTTCTTTATCATAACAGACAGAGAGAAAGAGAGAAAACTTGTACTATATTTCACACTTCTACAACCTAATAAGCCTACACAGGCTTATATAAAGGATACAAGTGACCTTAATAACACAAGGACCCTACTAACATAATGTAATTACATAATGGCCCAACATATATATATATATATATATATATATATATATATATATATAACATTCTAACAATTTCTAATTCCATTCTTTTTGTCTTGCTGTGCATCATCTCAACATTCACATTTTCGCCACTCTCACTCTATGCATGTGATAAAGGATGACTGAGTTATGAGAAATTATTTCCTTGTGTTACCCTTTTTTTTAAACCTGTTATAGCATCCTTGGATCTCAGTTTAGTGCTTAATAATAGATCATTACTCATCACCTGTGTACTGCACTTTTTCCTATTTTGCGATTTTAGTTAAATATTTACATTAAATCTATTACTAGTTAAACAATGGAAGATAGAAGGCCATTGTCTGCCTTCACTTTGACTTTCTTTCAAGTGCAACATAAAATCATAGATAAGCTGGAGGTAGAAAGCTTGCATCATAAATGGAATACCAATGGGCGTTACCATATTTCATTCCCCTTTTCATTTGAAACCAAATCCCTTGGGGTGCCAGAAGGGTAGGGGATGGGGCTCTTTCTCTGTCTCTCTTTCTTTTGTGCAAATGCATGTGGTTTTTTGTGCATAAAGGTTCATTTAGTATTGTTGCATTTGGACTCAATCAATGGTTGTATCTTGCTGTGTTGCTTATGAAAACAAAAATTTTGGTCTTACTATTAGGTTTTCTTACTATGTCTCTTGTAAATTTCTTAAATTTATTTAATAATTCAATTTTATGGCTTCTGTAATGGAACAAGTGATATTTGGATACATGCAAGTATAATGGATCCATCATGTCGTTAAACCGAAATTATTTTGTCTAAATAGTGATTTAGGTGAACCTTTTTCTCCCTTTTTATCTTTTAAAGTTTATTCAAATAGGGTTTTTACAATTTTCAATATGAATCTGCAATGCTTTCAAGATGCCCTACTGGTGCTCACCCAAGATTCTAGGTCAAGAAATAGCTAAGTCATCCTCAACTCAATGCAGATTTATTATCAGTAGTAATTAAAAGTCCTGCTATGTAGAGGAAAGTAAAACCAACAACACTAAAGCTGTAATGATAGCACATACTATTGGTGTTTTACTTCAGTTATGGGCAACGGAAAATTTGAACTTCTAATTTGCAGGATTTTTTATCTAATAATCACTGTAGGAATTTATGAGTTGGAAAAATTATACTCATTTCAGCTGCTATTTGTATAAAAAGAATAATGATAATATGGTACATCAGGAAACCTGGATGAGTTATAATATGAATGTGTGTTCACGTGTTATTAAAAACCAAGCTGAATCATTTCATTTCCGTTGCTGTTGAGATGTCCCTTAACTTGGTTATACATATCAAGCTTGTGTGTGATCCTCAATGTGTTGTGTTTTAACTGAAATTAGACAATTAGAGTTGTGCCTGACATATATGCACCCAAGTTGGCTGCTAAAACTCGTAGCCATTGATTTTTTTTTGTGTAGAATCATTTGCCAAACATAAAAATCGAAGATTCTGTTAGATCTGGAGGATTTCTATGATTGTATCAGGGTATGTTAAAGGTTTACTAAAGGTTCTTCACTCCTGGCCATCAGATATTTATGCTGGTTCACTTCCAATATTGAGCTATAAGTTATTTTCAGATTCCAGGAACTTACTTTCCCCCCATTACCCACCATGTCTACGTGTCTTATTGTTTTTAGTGGACATAATGTTTTCAGAGCCCTAAGAAGGTGAACTTGGTGGCTGCATTAGTTCGTGGCATGCGTGTAGAAGATGCATTGTTGCAGTTGCAAGTGACAGTAAAACGAGCTGCAAAAACTGTCTATCAGGTGATCTAACTGTCAAACATCTGTTATACGTCACAGTATTGGTAAATCAACATGTGGTTTTAATTTAATATAATAAAAAATATCGGGTAAAGAAAAAAATTGATACTGTTCTTTCACAAAAAAAATTCGCTTCTCAAATATTTTACCAAGGCTGTCATACAAGAGGTTGATAAAAGTCTTTGGCGCCTGAAAACTAGTCTACCATTATTGTTCATGTTCAATGCCAACATTTGCACCTTTCATAAAGATTCTGTGTTGCGGCCATGATGCAGGTTATACACTCGGCTCGGGCAAATGCAACCCATAATCATGGGTTAGATCAAGACCGTCTCCTTGTTGGTAATTACATCAATCGAACTACTACTACAACTATTTATTTTTATGGTTTGGACATTGCTGATTTCACATTCTCTTGTTTCTTGCAGCTGAGGCATTTGTGGGCAAGGGATTCTTTAAAAAGAGAGTGTCCTATCACGCTAAAGGAAAAAGTGGGGTAAAAGTGAGACCAGAGTGTAGATTGACAGTGGTAGTAAGGGAGATGACCCCCGAAGAGGAAGCCCAGATAGCTAGGCTGAGGGTCCACAATTTCCGCAAGCTCACTAAGCGAGAAAGGCAGCTTGTTCCTCATAAGCTTATTGAGACTACTCCAATTTGGAATCGCAAAAGCAAAGGGAACAATCATGCATCAGGTGGTAGGGCTGTTTAAAGCGTAGTTCCCTTCAATATTTTGACATTTTAGGAGGAACTCTTCCAGTTGTTTGACAGACCGAAATGCAGCAGTGCAAGCTTGTCGCAGCCTTTTTAATGGCTGCATGTGGTTTTAAAGTTGCTTAAATGTACAAGACACTGTATCAATGATGTACTAAGTTTCTTGTGAGAATAAGTTTCATTTCCAGTATGACTATACTCCCTTGTTCTACTTTTTATTACACAGGTCACTCTTTAGTTTCTGAAAAGCGCACAACTTTCCAAGCTGGTTAGTTGACAGGGAGATCATCCATCAGGTTGTCTGAAACAATGGCAGGGTTGGTTCTGTATAGATCATGTTATGAACTTTGTTGCTAACACAGACCCTCAAAATTATTTCTATGTTCGGTATCCATGCATAGTGTTTAGAAAGGTTGTTGCTTGGTGCAATGATAAAAAAAAAACTCGAAATGGCAAGCATGTATACTGCCTTGAAGTGTCATTGCTTGCTGAGCCTGAGAGTTGATGTTTCAAATGTTTGTGGACGTTTAGCATGCATTAATCTGACAACTTTCCACCTTGAGCCAGATGACATTCTTGCTTGTATCGACCAATGCATGAGTAAGAACAGCTTCCTGTCTTTGGTGTCAAAATTCATTTGCGGTCTCAGAAACAATGGCATATTTTAACTAGGAAGAGATCGTTTTGATCTATTGATTAAGCCCCCGCACACGGCCCGCACAGAATCAATAAAAAAAAGGGTGCTTGTTTATACCGAGTTTGATATCGTTATGGCATTGGCTTATATTCTGTGTTATATAAAAGAAAATTCAATAAATGCATTATACTAGCTGGACGAAGAAACCTAACAAGCACCACAGCACGGCCAAGTGAATATGACGACTCAGAAAGATAGAACATATATATATATATATATATATATATATATATATATATATATCTTATGGATAGAATTCACTACAATTGCTTGTTTATGTTGTACTTTGCAAAAATATGTGTCCTCCTCATCAAACAAACGTCTTCCCAATCCCTGTGCACAATGCCTAGAAGCCTACTGCAAAAACTGCTTTTATTCTAGAGCATATGTTTCTCTTGGAAAAGCTGGAATGATATAGAACACTCGCAACACAAATAAATAAATGACAAAAATCAACTCTCTTTTATTAGGACTAACCCAGTTCTAGGCATTACCACAGTTTAATAACAATAAATTTGTTGCATGTATTATTAAGACAAACAGTTGTAATATCAGTTTTGTACATTATTAATACTTTGGTATCTGAGAATCTCAACGCCCAAGTAATCAACAGGGCCTTGAACTGCAACATGAGGCTTCCCAACCTTCACACGAACAGCAGATATCTGGGGATACTTGGTCAGAGTTGTTGAAGCAATGAGTTGAGCCACCGACTCCAGGAGGTTTTGCGGCGGACCCTCCACTACTTCACTGACTATGCTGCCAATCCACCAGTTCAAACCAACGACGACAAAATATTAATAAAAGTGATGATATATTCACAAATGGAGAGGACAAGAAAATATAAACAAAATAAACAAGAATTTCCTAGTTTAATAAAAAGAGATGAAGCTACAAATCCAAACTAACATGCGCAAAACAAAAAAGGGTCATTGCCTATTGTGATCCCTGTTAATCAAAGAGTGTTCAAGGGGTGGACTGGCAACTCACTTTGGCATTATTTGCACAAACACAAGCTAGGTTAATTTCTTCTGTGCATTCAAAAGACCAAACCAAAGACAAATAAATGAAAGCCGTCTAAAGTGAAAGTTGGGGTTATGTGAAACAATTGAGTAAAGACTCCAAAGGAGGAAAACGTGTAATTTTCCATGTTCTTCAAAATGAGTTTATTGCTAGCCAACCAAATAAGGCTTTTACTACTACTCCATACTTGATGGTTGCTTAGTGCACGAAGACAATAAAATGTTGCTTTTCAGTCAAGATGACATCAATACTATCGTTAAGGCATTGTTGTCAGCGAAAGAAGCTGAAGTTTAAATGTTTCTCTTTGCAATAGAAGGATAAAACAGCCCAACTCAACTTGAAGAGGTTTGCTCTTTTGTTGAAGGATTTTCAAATGCGACTGGTTTTCTCTCCAGTTTTAGCTTGCCTAAGTTATCTTAGGACAAAAACAACAAATAAGCACAAGTGCGCAAACACAAAATTATAGTGATCATACAACAAATTCAACACACAAAAGCAAGGAGCAATCCTATAGAGATTAGATTCGACAACTGGACCAAAAATCACAGTATTTGGGAGAAGCAAATCCTACAAGAAGCAGATCTTTTGATGAAGTGGAGAGTTTGGTCATCAATCTGTGTTTAAGCGATAGCTAGGAGTTTCTATGGTTTAAAAACTGTTCACCTAAAATGTTAAATCTTTCTTATATAGTGGATTTGATCTGACTTGACTAGGTCCTGTAATTTGTTCCCTTGGAGTTTCCACATAAAAAATCTGTGTCCACTGTGCTTTAACATTTAATTTTTTTACATTACATATTGATTGTTTATGTGGTTGAATGCATGGTGGATTGGGTAGATTGATAGTTTAATTTTGGAACAATCGCTAATTTATTTAAAATTATTAAAACAACTAATTAGCTTTAGGTCTAGCTCATGCGCCTTGCACAACTCATATTGGAGCATGGGTACTAGGGTTCCAGTCCTAACCCTTCAGTATTAATACAAGGCCATGACAAGCCCTATATATATATTTATTTATTTATTTATATATCCATGAAAAAAAAAGTATTAAGTAAAGGTTAAAAGATTAAACAGTTTAGAAACATGATTTGACTGTAGGAGATATGGTGGAAGTAAAGAAGGGTTAGGAGCATGAAACACTTGTAACTAACTTCTGAGAATCCTATGTGATATTTTGAAAACTTCATCATTATGATTTGATTGATTCATTTGCCTCAAGTAAGACAGAAGAGGAAAGTTTATACTTATTACTCACCGGTATATCTCAGTATAACTTATAGTATCTGACAAGCAATCAGATTTACCAGCTGTTCGGAGATCCATCCAGGCATCCACATCTACAAAGAACTTCTGACCGAGCTTTCTTTCTTCAGACTTCACCCCATGAAACCCATGAAACTTCAGCCCCCTTAACACAAGTTTGTCTCCCTTTGTTATTTCCTCGTCCATCATTGATTCTGATGAGAATCATTATTGTCAGTCAAATGCTCCTTGGATAGCATGGAACATATTAAAAATAGATATGATGGGGAAAGCTCATAGTGACACAAATCAACACCGGGAAGAAACCTGATAGTGACATAAAAAAGAGCCGACAATCCCAAATTCTGGTGACCCTTTTTTTACTTTAACATTATACATTGTATTTCAAGATGCATCAAAGTTTCAAGTCCTTTTCTCAATGACAAGCCTCATGGAGGAACTGGGATTTTTTCTGTCATCATGCCCTGGGAACAATAACTAACTAAATACAAAACACCAAAGGATCAGCCTGCGCAAGGATTTGTGCTGTTTCTGGAATGCAATGAAAGACCCACAACTTCCACATGCAGAGCCATTATTTGTCCTCAGATTCTAACCATTGTACCTATATAGCTATGAAAAATGGATCCTTTAATTCATGCATTCAAGACTCTAATAACTACTATCTGTGCAATAATTTAGCCATTCCTAATGTCAAAGGCAACCAAAAAAAAAAAAAACAGAAGGAAAATAAGAAATTGTTGCAAATACATTAACAAGTTTCGAAAAATAAACTACTGAAAATCCACTTCAACGTACAAAAATAGGAAGCATATTTCACACAAACAGAATAACTTGTAATTTTAACCTTGACCAAAATATTCAACAAGGCCATAATTGAATATGTTTTTGCATCCCTAAATGCCCATCAGAAACCAACAATAGAAGTATCTCAGCATCTTGTCAAGTTGTAAGCTAAATCTTCTAATTGATAATTGGGCTAAAGGAAAAACTTCAATTTAATTTATTTATTTTTATCTCTATCAAGATGTGGATTTTCATCCTGAAATCAAAGTCCAAAGATGAAGATTTAAAACCTCATTCTTTTCTCTCATTGACTATAACAAAGATTTTTTCCTTCACCGAGCTAACTTCTCAACTAAAAGCTCAACAACTAGTAAGCAGCTTGATAGTTAGAACCCTACTACAGTTTCCAAAAAATAAAAAAAAAATTACCCTTTTGAGTCTTTTCCGGCTTGAGCATTTGCATGTCTTGGAATTGGAGTGCAGAAAAGCAACATAAAATAGAAAGGTGGACTACATGCAACTGGTACATAAGGACAATAAAGGTCACATATTCATCACTCTACTGGAAACTATCAGAAGCATTCAGCTCTAGTATAAATTAACATCTGAATGTTTCAATTTGAGCCAAATAAGGAAGAAACTGCCCTAGTAAATTATTAATAACCTGTTTAGAGAGAGAAATAATTTACAATTCCATTTCCAACAAATTCATCTTTATATCTGCGTTATAAAGTCCTTAACAATGCAAAAGAGAGAACTAAATGTACAGTAACAGCCAATTCCGTGATTCGCTAAGCAATGACTTTGTGGATAACCCACAAACGGCGACTTGCTCAGCAAATACAAAAAAGCTGCCAAAACTCAATACAACTACCCATCATATAAGAACTCATCACACACACATAAATATCCATGTCTATATGAGTGTGAGAAAAAGTGACTTCAAAACAGAAAGGAACCAGAAAGCTATAGGAGTATAATTTTGTGTAGCAATATTTCAACCGTACCACTGTTGGACATGTCGTGATTGCTAAACGAACCGGGAATTTTCACGCCGGGCGTTGGAAAGAAGCCTGGGTGCCGCCGGAATTGTTGTGCCTTGGCCTCTCCTAAACTCTTGCTTTCTGCTGAATCACCGCGGCATCACACAAATGCTCTCCAACTCTTCTTCTCTCTCTGGATTGGGCTGCCTGAACCGAATGGGACATGGGTTTTTTCTCGGGATGAGGTTCGGTCCTAGCGATGTATGGGCAAATGGAGGGTTGGCAAGATAGTTGTGGCACCATATTATTAGTCCCGAACCTAATATGATGGTGGGACAGCATATTAAAAGATAGGATTTACGTACCCGGTTCGAGATAAAAATATTTTGGAAATCGTTCTACACTAATAAAAGAATTTAAAAAATAACATGAACTTTATACAAGTCCATCACATTTAGCATTTAGGTGGAGGTGGCAAATGGGGGATTTGGACCGGGTTTGAATTGGATTAAAAATGGACAGATTAAAAATGAGTCAAGATACACATTCAACTCGTTCAAAAATGTATAGGGTCAGCCTGTTATGATACGTGGATCCATTATTTATTATTATTTTTATTTTTAATTATTTTTTTGGGGAAGGTTTTAAAATTTTATTTAATAACAAATAAAAATAATAATCTCAAATTCAACAATATTTATGGATTCGTTTTAGAGACAGAAGTGAAGGAAATAGAAGAAATATTGATGTTTTAAAAATAAACTTTTCTTAAAAATTTTGATGTTTACAAACATGGAAAAAGAAAATGTAATTTGCATCTTTGAAAAAAAAAAAATATTTGATTCGTGAAACCCGACTGACCCGCCCGCCCAAAATATTGATGTTTAAAAAATAAAATTATCTTAAAAATTTTGATATTTACAAACATGGAAAAAAAAAATGTAATTTGTTAAAAAAAAAGTCTCCTGAAACCCGATCAACTCGCCCAAAATATTGATGTTTTAAAAATAAAATTTTCTTAAAAACTTTGACGTTTACAAACATGGAAAAGGAAAATGTAATTTGCATATTTGAAAAAAAAAAAAAAAAAAAAAAAAAAAAAAAATTGACTCATGAAACCGAACCGACCGGCCCAAAATATTGATATTTTAAAAATAAAATTTTCTTAAAAACTTTGATATTTACAAACATGGAAAAGGAAAATGTAATTTACATATTTGGGAGGAGAAAAAAAAAAAATTGACCAGTGAAACCAGCCCAAAATATTCGGACTGGCCCAACCCAACCCGATTTCGGGTTGAGGTTGGGTTGGGACTAGGCTGGATTAGGCCAGCCTAACTTGCATTCCTAATCGTGAGTGAGTGAATTTTAGAGGAAGAAATGAGTTGAGTGCAATATAGAATATATATGTGTTATGTGTCTATTATGTGTGCTGAGTGAAATATGGGTTGAATATGAATAACCATATTCAAACCATCTTGATTCTCAAATTAAGTGATTAAAAGTTACCTAACCTATTTTTGACTCGTCTTAAATATGGTTCACCCAAAACCATTAAAAAGCGAACGGATATGGACGGATTGATGATTTTTGACTCATTTTATCACCCCTTATATTTAGGTTGTATTCATTTTAATGAATGTCGCAAATAAAAGGTGGTGAAGGTGGTGTAAACATGTAAAGTTGTGGTAGGTGTACTGCTTAGGTACTGGAGTCTTTACAGTATGTTTGAATCAAAGATTTGAAAATGAGAGAAGGCCAAAAAAGAGCTACTATCTCTTACTACCTAAATTGAAAAGATTTAGAAACAACGAGGCTAAGTGTTAGTGGCTTCGTTAATAATAAATTAAAGCACGATCTTTTTACTTTTTAGTTAAATCATGAAAGTCTTTAGGATGAATGGCTCACACTATCATCCATCCATTTTTCACATGCGCCTTTCCTCTGCTAACCAACAATCTTACTCAACCAGTGCTTTTACCACTGGAACACAATTGGAAATCACCGAGTTCGTTCGTCTAATTAGATGTGTCTTGTTCGTCTTTGACCCACCCGCCAATCTACCCGTTGTTTACTCGTCTTCTCTCAATGTATTAGACCACTTTATTAAGAAGGTTAAACAAATCCTGTTTAATAATGGCATTGTTTTCCATGTCAAGGTGGCTCCTTAACATGAACAAAAACAGTTTATTTTAGTTTGCTTCGACCCACATACCAGAATATACCCATGTCACCACACCAAACAAATTAGTGTAAACGCGAATTACCAAGTTTCCTTTCTGCAGCAACCAAGCAAAGCAAAGTCATAATTTTCTAACGCTTCACTGGATAAGACACCAAAAAACTACTAGCCTCTTCTTGAAAGAAAATAAGAAAACTTTGAACATATTCACTATATGAAATCATATATACACAATTTTCAGACTCACGGGCAGCGAAGCCATCAATTCAAAAAATTAATGAATATCACAGCATCCTCTGTTCATTTTGGTGTTAAAGGACTGCTCTTTGACAAGAACCCACATGTTGGCACCGAAAATAACATATATACACATCACGTCCACCATTTCTGTTACCTCTCGAGTGGGTTCTGAGTAATTTTGTTCCCATTGGCAAAAAAAAATGACAACTTACTTTTGGAGAGAACGAATGAAAAGCTTTAGAAGAAAAGGGTGCTTGTTTCATCCGCTCTCCCTACTGCTGCAACTCTATGGGTGTTATATCATATATCTTAAATTCTTCGGTAGAAAAGGACATAGGCAGCTGATGTTTTTATCTGGTCCTCACTAACAGGGAGAACATGGCTGTCATCAAACTCATACCACCGATTATGCCCATGCTACATTGGAACACAATTAAAAACCATTAAAAACCGCAAGGAATCACAAGTAAAAAAGATAGAACTAAATTTAAATATTGACGCTTAATAAATCCGAGGAAAACAAAACAATGGATTAACATATCAGGAATAAAGTTTAGAAAAAAATAAAAATTGAGACGAGGAAAAATGTGAAAAACTAATTATACGTTATATCCTCATATTGTTTGATATATTCATATGAAAGTGATTCTCGCCATAGTATCACCAACAATTATTTTCAGAGTTAGGAATGTGTCATAGATACTCATGTACTCGGCCATATCTGTATCAAATATCTTAGAATTTTTGTATTGCCCAGATTCTTCCATATTGCACTACATATACATTGCTTCGGAGGCTACCTCAAGCCAATGTACTTGAATGTGGTTGATAACCCACTAACAAGTAGCTTAGAAGTAACAACTTCATTTACAAAAGGTAATGGATAGTTTACAAATATAGCTAAAAGCTAGCCACCTACTAGGGAGGTTACACTAAGTTAAACAGAACCAAAATTGTTAAATCATCTAACGAAGCATTGTTCCAAGTGAATCCCATTGGACCAATTAACAATGGTTCTCTTCTTGGGATTTGAACCTTCATGGGTCTCCCTTGGACCACATCAGATAATATCCACTACTATACATATTCCACAACCATGTTATCTGACATAATAAAGTACTAATCGTACAAATAAAGGCATGTGTCATCACTTTGCATACATGACTAACTTTTCTTCGAGTTTAAGCATACTCCCAGAAATATTCAGTAAAGGAAATTGCTTCCAACTGTGGTTTTTCATTTTTCAATAAAGATACTTGCCTCAAGCTGCCGATTATTCCCAAAGCACGTATTTTACCTCCAATAAAAAATTTTGACACTTACAAATCAAACACTACACTTAGATTAATATATTCACTTGGATACAATAAGGTATAATGTTCTTTACACTAAGTCCTTTGCAGGTGGTGTCTATAATTGAACTGCTGTTACCAAGTGTTGGTGGGGCTTGGAAGGATTGATTGAATACAGACCTAAATAATGGTCGCATTATTTGCACTAAAATGCAATCCCCCCTATTAGATTCTAACAATAAATTAAACTGGCTATGGACCTATCCCACTATTTAAGGTGGTTCAAGGTTGAACTGAGGTAGTCTACTAAGCATGAATGCTTCTACAAGGACACCGTATCTGTGTCGGATATCAAAAATTCTCAGATACTTGAGTATGCATGTCTAATACTTCCTAAGCATATAAATAATTTGAAGATATATATATATATATATATATATATATATATATTATTTTAAACAAGTACAATTGAGATTTATGAGAATATGTAATGTCTAATTAGTCCAAAGCCCATGTATGACTTCTTAACGTGATCTTTAGTATTATAAATTACAAATGCAGAACTTTGATAGATTCAGAAAAATCCTTGTTTGTAATAATTTTGTTTAAAGAAAATGTTACACATTATATGTATATGACACAACAAACAATTATATTTGAAATTTATTCCTGAAGATAGATAAATAAATATTTATTTATTTTTAATTTTTAAGCACATGCCTATACATACATTAAATACATATATATTATCATTCCCATCATATCCTTCATATGAGGTACTAAACAGGCAATCAGAGGAAAAAAATTACACAGAAGCACCACTTACTTGGACAAATGCAGTATAATGACCACTGCCCATGCTACCATAATGATTACTGACAGCATACAACATGTAATGATGGGAAACCCGGCTGTCCTTGCAAACAATGTAAGATGAGAGATCAAAGTTATCTATTGGGAAGTCTACAAACGTTTCCAGCTTGTTTTTCAAAAACCGGCTGTAAAAGAACCTCTTAAGATGAATAACCAGAATTTCAGGCAATCTCCAAAGATCTAGCTTTTTGCTGGCTTGCTGATGGTTCTTGCACTTAGGGCAGTACCTAAAGTTAGATTACTTAGAAAATCTGGTATTACAAAGGCAACAACAAAAATTTAACAATAAAAGAGAAAATGTAATTCATCAGGGAGAATTAAAGCCAACAATATGAACCCATACCCAACTGCACTACTGAATTAGAAACAATCTCCCTCTTGTACATTGTTAGAATGGAAAAAGTGAAAAATATTAACAGGATTGTGAGGTACTTAAGAATTCTAAAAAACTTTACTAAAGGAGAAATTAGGATGTATGCTAACCACATGTCTTCTGGTCCAAGGGGCTCCTCCTTCAAGAAGGCTTCAAGGCATTTATATAGAGAAACAGATTCTTGAGGCTTCTTTGTGAACAATCCAGTTTTGCAGATCTCCGGCAATGTGCTTAGAAGGCAAGTGTCATAAAGTTCAACCATTTCATTTGGCCAAGAAACAAGCACATTTATAATATCTGGCAACCCTGTTATCTGTACAGGCTCATTCATTTGTATCTTGGGACCTTTTGGATACAAATCATACAATCCCCTTTCTTCCATTAATTGAAACTGAAAGTTGGCACCCAAATGCGAATAATCCCCTGATTCACTATCTGAATTTGCATCCCCTCCGAATACTGCAGTGTTAACGACATCCTCCATCTCAAAATCTTTATTACCAGAATTTTGGACATCATCAGAATCACTCAAGGAATTTTCCACTGGCAGTAAAAAAGGTTTTAGTAACTTCAAGAACTGTTTGTGTATCTCGGATCCTCTAGAAAGATTAGATATCCTTGCTACAAGAGGAATACCAAATTTCTTTAAAGATGAGGTTCCATGAATGTAATTGTAATGCCTGGCCCTGTTAAACAAAGATAATAGATAAGAATCACAAAAGACAAACTCTAGACTAATATAAGTGAAAACAGGACAAAAAAACCTGTAAAATTTGTTTACAAAATACAAATCATACAACAAACATATTACTTATATAACCAAACTCTATTAATAACTAATGATAGCACGTGTACATGTCCCTTCACGTGTGGCCTTCTTTTGGTTCAACAAATGTTTCAATTTTAAATATCAGGGTGACAGTGAGGTTTGAACACATGACCTTGCCTACTGTGATACCATGTTAACCACCATCTACTCCAAAAGCTCAAGCTGTTAGAGAGGGTGTAACAGCTGTGAGGGACCATTTAGTTTAACCCTGTAGGGGTTCTATACCGGAGGTAAATTATAATAGACACAGATATCAAACACAACTGTGAGGGACCCAAAGAGATGATTTGGATGAAGGAGAAGAAGTAGACTAGCCAATGGGATTTACGGAAAAGGTAAGGATATATTTGTCTCTGTTACGAACTTGTATTGCTGTGTGAGTTAATACGTGAATTTCCTCTGCCCTTGAGACTTGTACATATAGTCCTAGGTTTCCTCGGCAATACCCAGAGGTCCTTGATGGGATCTAGGCCTTGCCTGGCGCCTAGGGTCATAGTTAATGATTCCCTCAGATACCTAAAGGGATCAAGTCTCACCTTTAACCATACCTTTGGTGGTGTGTCCTGTTAATTTTTATCGCAAAGCCTTACATGCATCCAGCTGGGCAATAGCGACAGTAGCTGAGGCCTTAACGACTCTAACTAGAGCATTAATGGTGATGGAAAGGGTCCTTGTCGTACCACATGGTCCACCATCCCTTTGGCCAGGCAATTTCTAATAACTTCTCACCCACCAATCCAAAATCGTTCCAAGTGTCCCACGAGTTAGTTGTAAGTGTACAAGAAGGCCCTACCCATATCTCATTCCGTACTCAGCAACTTTGACTCAAGGTATGTGCGATTTCGAGGTTTTCTTTGGGCACGAGAGTTATACTTTCAGTGTTCGACGACTTGGCGTGACATCAGGGTTTTCTTTGGACTCCAGAGTTGAACTTTTGAGGTTTGATGAGCTAGCGTGACGTCAGGGTTTTCTTTGGACTTGAGAGTTATACCTTTGAGATTTGATGACGTGGCGTGACAACAATGTTTTCTTTGTACTCGAGGATTGCATTCTCGAGGTTTGATGACCTAGGCACAGTTTGGTTGAAAATAAATGAAAGGAAAAGAAAAGAAAGGAAATGGAAGGGATATGGATTTTCGTGTTTAGTATAAATATTTGGAAGGAAAAGAAAGGAAATGGAAGGATTTGGAGGGATACATTAAATTTGATGATTTAGTTTTGTTATCATTCAAAAAATGGGAGGAAATTGAAGGGAAGGGAAGGTTGGCCTTTTCAATGAAACTTTGTTAATACCAAATTTGCCATTATTTTTATAATAGAAAAAATTTATGAAAAAGCGTACGGTGGTAAATTCATTGAAATAGTTTCATTTCCTTTCATTCCCCAAACACGATTACTATCCTTTCTTTTCCTTCATTAGTCAACCAAACACAATAAGTGGTTCACACTATCATCTCCATTTTTTTTTTCTTTTCTTCTCTCTCGTATCTAATGTCATCCTTTCTTTTCTTTTCCACAATACCAATCATAGCCTTGGTTATATTGAGTTGGATGGAATTTCAGAAATTTTAAAATTTATTAGCGAACTTCTATAAATACATAAAATAATAATAATAATCCTGTAAAATAGTGGAAATCAACAAACCAAAAAGAAAGACAAGACAGTAGAAATAATTTAACAAGGAATACTAAATAGAACAAAAAACTGCTTTTGCATCTCAACTTTGAGCAACATCTTGCACTTCCGCCAATAAGACATCAACAATAAATTGATAATATTCCCAAACCAAATCAGTATAATTATCTTCTCCATAATTTAATTTCAATACGACTATTACACACACATATGAAACATAAAGTAATCTCGTAGTCCAATTTGAAGCACCGCAGCATTAAAGATTAATAATGTAGACATATGGTAAAATAATACTGGAACACACGCACAAATTTGCCACATGGGCGAAGCCCTTGGTGGTTAATAGGTAGAGTATTAGTAAAATAAACGCCATCAAATTGTTTATTGAATAGGGTGAACAAGGAATTGGTGAGATGGCAAATAAAAAGTTCCAACAAGCAACCAACACATAAACAACAAATGAGTTTTTTGCATTTGGAAGTGAAACCATGGGGATCCATATCATAGAGATAATCAATCAAGCTACATTGCTAGTGTGACTTCAAGTTGCTTGAGATATTGCATGTATTTTTCCTTTCAGTAGATTAATCAAAATACATTCGCAAGAAGATGAAGCAAGCTGGAAAAAATGTTATTTACATCATAGCAAAATCACATCAAACTAATAAGATAAAAAGAAAAGAACTGACATTATGATCATACAAAAGATCAGATAGAACTAACCTCTCAACCCGTTCATGATTAAATGCAACCAAAGGAGACATCTCACTATCTATTGGCAAGCGATAAGCAACAAGCTTATCATTATCTCTAATCAACTCTATAGAATCAGACGGCTTATCCAACAGACGAATAATGTGGTGGTTGAAGATCTGTAAACCACCCAAAAGTTTAGTGCTAAAAATGGTAATATTAAAAGAAAGCACGTATACAATGAAATTTTACATCTACACATTGAGATCCCTATCATGCCCAAGTCAAGTTTAATAGATGGGCCTGACCTTATTTATCAAAAAAAAATAGATGGGCCTGACCTCAATTATCAATAGACAAGAAATCAGTATCACAATGTAACTTTGAATGATTGATATCCACCTTTACTAAAATTAACTACCTATTTTGTAAAATGTAATAATATCTTATGCATATCAGTAAACTACAAGCAACTCAATCATGATGAATTTTAGCACCAGCAAACCATCAGAGGAAATTTTTTGTGGATCCTACACCATACCAATGCCATCTAACAAATTATGATGCTTGAAAACCCATGCTCTTAGTCTAAGGATAAAATGGATGTTCCTTCCCAATTATTCAAGGGAGAAACAATGATATTTGTATAGAACATGCTGATATAGAGAACATGGCTACTCAAGTGCTGCCTGGCTAACCACACTACCACAGTGCTTCACGTCTAGCCTAGCAACAATATTATGTTAGTAACAAGTAAATATGGCACTTGATAACCATCACCTTTAAGATACAAGTAGTTCCACGGCTATACGTAAACTAACGGACACTACACAATTACATAATACATGGATTCCTTACAGCATTACTAAGGAACCTACCTCGGCCACCAAGAATGTTTCATCATCTCTCAAAGAACATGCAGTGCTTAAGGCCTGAACAAGATCCTTACACCTTCCATATATAGGTACAGTTATGGTAACTGGAAATGGCAAAGCAGTTCCATCAGTACTCACGACCATCAGAGTCATCATTCGCATTGTTGTTGAAGGTAGTGGCAAGGATAGATACATGAATGGATCAAATGTAACAGACTTCTTCTTGCAAGCAGGACAAACCAATGTTGACCTATATTGACCCTGTGACAGAAAAACACAAAACAATCAATTAAGAAGACAATGAAAGCTTATTTTATGTATTACAAAAGCACCTAGGTCCAACCCAAGAGGACAAATCCAAATGCTGCTTGCAACCTAAGTAAAGCCAAAGAATTTTGATTTCGACATTAACTACTAAGAAGCATTGGAGTAGTACAGCATGTTTTAATATATGTTTAAAAAAATTATCTTTATTGAAGAAAACAATGTTTGACAGTAGTAGACTCACTTGGCACACATCAACTATGATGGAGTCATTGCGAGCCAGATGATTTTGCCAGTGTTCATCTGCTACTTCTTCATCAGGATGGTCATCTGCATCCTTTAAATCTATATAAGGTTTGCATTTTACCCGATTCAGATCTTCATGGAGTCCATCCAACAAAAAGGCAAGAAATTCCTACATTAAGAACAAGAAATTAATAAAATGTCTTCTCCCACTGGAAATAATAATACAAGTAATACAACTATAGTTCTGACAAAAGTTTAAAATGAAAAAAAAAAATTCACCTACTTGGGAATCATGCTGGTTATAGCCACTGAATTGGGGAGCAAAGTCAGCAAGTTTAGACTTGAAAGAATGTGGAGCCACTGATGTTGCTCCTGGTGTCCATAACTTCCTTAACAAGTCTCCAAATGCTAAAGCGAGCTCACCCTGGCCAACAAGTGAAAACTTAGACAAAAATGAATAGAAGAGTAGATTCTTTAAAGAAATATATACCAGATCTAAAAAGGTATCAACAAAAATATAACTAAAGAAGCTTAAGAAAAGTGTTTCCAAGAAATTTTGTTTTAATAAAAAATAAACAAGAATAAAATGCAAAAAACACATACATTCATGCCCAAGGGATTTTCAGTGTTTACGTCTTTTCTATAGTCTCCAAGAAAATAATCCACAAGCTCTGGAGTATGTACCAAGCACTGGATCGCACTGTTCATGAAACAAGTATTGCCAAGATTATATAACCCTGTTAAGCCCAAAACGCAAGGTCCACTATAGTTACGGCCAAATGGTGTAGACGAGTTAACTCTAAAATATGAATCGACATGGTCAGTGCTTCCATTCATCTTAAGCAAACCACTATTACAAGAATCTCCAATTTTGGACTGTTCCACTTCCATCTCATCATTCCTCCCTTCTATAGCCCTCGTGCAATATGAAAATCCATAAACTTGCAATTCCAGAAGAATCTGTATACAAATATGTGAAATGTAAATATATCACTTAACTACACAGTTGAATGACGTGCATGAAGAAGATGTAAAAGAAAAAATCAAAGCATAGCTCACAATATTAAAACATCAAAATATATATGCTCATTGCTAAGGCAATCAACTCTGCAACTATTCTGAACAGATATTCTACCTCGCAGACACACCAAATTCTCAGGCAGACTGAAATCCAAATGCCTAATCATGTCAAATTTGATTTATACAAAAATCATAAGGTATTTGTATTCATCAAGCGTCACAATCAATTGCTATTACCCTGGAACGCATGCTACAATTCTATTGACAGCTAAGTTGAGTGCCAAGAAGCCTGGACTCAAATGATTGACACTGCAGATTCCTTGGTTAATTATCTGAACATAAGTTATGGATTCTGTAGCCCATTTTTATAAAAAAATAGCATGAATAGGATTCATCCTCATAGAACCCTCCATGAACTATCGGAAGTGTAGCGGACCACTAAGCGAAGGAAAGTGTATTCAGCAATACTGGACATACACTGCATGAGATGAACACACTGACGGACCTAACAAACAAAAATGATTAACCATTTCCACCATGCCCATGAACCATTCAAGATAACAAAAAAGGTTCTAATAAAACCACTGCATAATTGAATATTTTTTTGAGGTATTAGTTTCAAATAAAAGAGAAATGGATTCAACAAAGAAATGCATATCTTAGGCCTTCTGACTGTAAAAGAAGCCTAATCTGGCCCTCCTCTAACAGAAATTATAGTTCTATTTGACAATATATTCTCAATTTATTCATAAATCAGCTCATAGTTACGTTATAAATCCTTCAGTTAACCCCCTTCGAGTATAAACTACAGAAAAGATAGGCAATAAAATACATCAATGAGTTACCTCTGCATCTGATTGGCCAGCTTCATTAGATAATTTAATTTTATCATTCATGAAAAACTGGGTTATCTGCCCTGAGAAGTCCCAAATGCTAAACTGTCCAACACATGACGCGAGTTATCAACCTCATCCAAAACATAGACCATTTCCAATGAAACATTAGCTGTAATTACCTAGCTTACCAGCCCAGACTTGACACAGAAAATATTGCAAGCTCTATTGAAAGCCGTGACTTCATTGTCCTGAAAAAAATTTCGATTTGTTAAATAAACGATACAGGACTTACAAAGCCTGTACTAATTTCGTACCAAATAGATAGCATACAAGTAAGGTAGACCGTCCGTGTGATATTATATACCTTGAGAACAGAACTAAATAAATCAATTCAGTTCATTGCAATTTTTTAGAGTAACTACCATGGCTTGTAGTCGAAGAAGAAGAAAAATGCATATAACTGAAATGCATGCATGTAATATAAAACAAGCACAAGAAGGGCCAGTTTGGCAACCGATTCCGTTTTGCGTTTCTGTTGAAACAACAGAAACAACGTTTTGTTGTGGAGTGTGTTCAATAGTGATTGGAAACATGTTTTGCAACGCAAAATTTTGTTGCAAGATTTTTGGAAGAAAAAACATGAAAACATGTTTGGCAAAAAAGTGTTGCAAGATTGAGTAACAAAATGGATGGTTAAAAATGACCACCAAGAGATTTCTTTCTTTTCTTTTTCTTCTATTTTTTTTTCTTTTTCTTTTTTTTTTTTTTTGAGGGGTGGGGTACTGTTCACTGCTGGTGTTTTTGATTTGGGTCTTTTCGGCAACAAACCCGGTAATATTCAAATCGCAACAAAAGTTACCAAAATGCATTTTGGTACTTTGCTTCGCTACAGTACACCTACAACACAAAACACGAAACAAAAGCAGTTTCCAAACAGGCCCGAAGTAAACTGACATAAATTTTAGAGAGAAACAGGGGGCAAAAGACACAAATAGAAGAAAAAAAGTAAACAAGTAGCTATGCACTACATTTGCTTATTCATTATACAACAGTGAAGAGTTTTATCTTCTTAATAGGAGGTTGGGCCATTGCGCATTAGAGAAGTTGTAAAAATTATTTCCAACTTACAAGGCTGAATGTAAGGAACAAGAGTTGTAAGTAAGGAACTCAAACGTCAAAGGTCAAATAGAATATTTCATTGTTGTATGTATCGGGTTATGAATTTTTTTGGATGAATTTAAAAAAGCAAATTCGTTATTTATGCCAAGTAATGAAAACAGTCGCAAATTATTGCAAAATAGTATCACATATCAATATATACATCAATGAGGTAATATCGAGCATATTTCAACTGAAAACTCATTATATCAACGAAATAAAGAAAGAAACACAAAACCTTTTTTTCTCCCTTTCTTGCTTCCTTTATTCTCTTCTATTTCTTGCACAGATTTTCTTGATAAGTACATACAGATTTTGATTTTAACATATAAAAGTGTACAAGTGAGCTGCGTAGTGGATTTTATGGAAAGGTGAGTAACAAAGCCAATCCTACCTTTTCTGTTTATATTAGTCATTGGCCACGAGTATATTATTGCATGATTTGTATCAGTTATTATATGGTGAGCAACTTACCAATGAGACTTTTGCTACTTCCTCGGGTGGAGAAAGAAACTATTTTTTTATTATACTGCATAGCTATATTAATTGGACTCCTAAAAAATAGGTGGAATACCCGTGTCCGACACACATTGCTAGGACATGGACATGGGATATGTGTTCGACAATTCTGGTTGGATATGCAACTAGAAACCATGTCCAATAATTCAACTTCATTATTTTATTGCTTCAAAATGAGTGAAATGCCAATATTTCTTTTACCTTGAGAATAGAATAAAAAATAGAAAATAATATTAATATTTGGCAATGAGTCTTATTGTTTCGTAATTTGACACATCGGACAAGTTGATATTTAACTGAAATTCTGCACCCAACACACATACCCAACTCCATGTAACATAGCCACCTTTGAGTTTCAAGTGGTATCGACTATAGAATTGGTCATACTAAATTGTTGTACAATTGTAGCACTTGTGGTGACATATTTCTTGGAATCATGTTTGATTCTAATGTAATTAATATTTTGTGATACAGAAAGTAGTGTTCATATTCTCTATCCAGCCTTACTCAAACTACTCCCTCCGTCCCACAATACATGTCCTGCATAAGAAATTCAACTTTTTATGGTAGTGGAGTTTTAATAGTTTTTTATTGTATTGATAAGAGCGAAGTTTCAAATATGTCCTTACTAAAAGACAAAATAGTACTCCGTAATTAGTGCATTATTTAGTTAAAAGGATAATTTGGGAATTTTATACAAAATATCACATTCAAGTTTGGAATAGGACATGTTTTTTGGGACATCCCAAAATGGAAAGATAGACAACTATTTTGGGACGGAGGGAGTATAATGGTACCTTATGCTTGAAAAGTGTGTGGGAAAAGATTCACTTGCAAAAATGCCATAAGCTCACGTGTACATTTGGCCCCACCCCACCCCAAAAAAAAAAACCCAATTTTCCTCCTTTAGCACCCCATATTAACAATTTAAAATCAGACATACTAAATAACAGCTAGAAGCCCCCTTTTACGTACCATAAATAAACCATATCATTATTCTCCAGAGGTTTCTTATCTTTGTTTTCTTTTTAATTTTTTAAAGAAAATTTATGGTACTAAATATAAAATTATGGAATGACAAAATCATATTTAACCCAAAAAAGAGACACAAATGAAGTTGCATCCAACAAAACAAATCATGACAAGTAAAGTACCATAGATTATCTATGAAATTTATTTAACAAAAACAAATCATGAAAGGAAGAAGCAAACTACTAGCAGACCTTTTGGGTAATTCTTACAACCAATGAAGTTGAATCCAACAAAACAGAAAGCCTGATTTGTAAAGGAAACAAATCCCAGGTGCTATTTTCTGCAGCTAAAAAGTTTTCAACATCCTTGGCATTGTTATGCCTGCAGGAAAGAGCAAAAAAAAAGTCAGAGGAACTAAATATCCCCTAGCTCCTAAAGCAACTAAAAATAGTATATTAACATTTTATGAATTCATATATAACGCAAGTACATGAAAATTTTATATTAGAGAGCTAAAGTCGTGAAAAGGCACAAAGTGTCATCCCATTCTCCATGCTAACTATTTAACAAAATATGGTTCTTAATATTGAAAAGTAATTCACGAGCCCAATAAGCACGGGTAAAAGTAAATAAATAAATAACAATTGTAGACATCAATGAAGTAAAAGACCATTTATCCTCTCCACCTAACCCAAACCCTAACACCCCCTCCCTACCATGGTAATGGTGATGGTACCCAATGAGTAAAACATAAAACGCTTTCAATCAAAACTATTTCTCAATGTAAATACAAATACAAATATATAGAGAGAGATATATATTCAATTATAATCCTTCACCATTTAAGAGCCCGCAAAAACATCCATTCTAAAACCAAAGCGCAATCGCCACCCGAAGCACCTTCTTCGGTACTCTCATGCTTCTCGGCATCTTCTTCTCTCCTCAAATTGAGAAGAATTTCGGACTGAGAACCATAGCCACCAATCTGCACTGGGCCCAAACGAGAACCAGACAACGTAACCGCGTACTGAAGACCTTCAATCTCACTCAAATCGCGGAACAGCGACTGTCGAGCCTCATTCCACCACCTGAAAACCAATGCAAACACAACGAGAGAAATCCACACCTATTATGTCGATTGGCACTGAAAGACCGGACCAATCTAAACCGAGTCACGAACGTACCTGTAAGGAACGAAGTAGAGTCGATCGTCGTTGACCTCCGAGAGGGGTTGGATTTGGTGGTGGTGATTTCGATAACGATCGAAGTAGTAGTCGTCGTCTTCGGAGAAGAAGAGTGAGTCCATGGACAATAAATCTAGGGTTTTAGAAACGATGTGTTTGAGACGGGGAGCGAGTAGAGAGATAAAGTTGGTGGTGGATTTGTAGAGAGAGAAACGAAAGATTTCGGCGATGCGGCTCAAGCGAGAAGGTGAAGATGGAGGAGAGTGATGGTTGGGGGACCGAGCGGTCATCAGAGAGAGTGAGTAAAAAGAAAAGGATGGTAAAGACCCGACTGAGAACTCATAAATCATAATGGGTTGTGGAGCTCCTCAATAGACGAGAGTGGGGAGTTTCTGGGTGAGCGTGTTATCGACGCGCTGTGAGTGGGAGTGGGGCTTATCAATCTCTTAAGGGAATGTCTAGATCGTTCTCGGGAGGCCCTTATTTGAGTTTAATTATCGGGGGAGGTACACGTGGCGGCAGAGATTGTTGCATACATCTAATTAACGTACATCATCAAAACTCGAAACACAAATTCCGTTAAAAAAATATATTAGCTAATAATACCTGTGTAGTTTAATCGTATTAGGAATCATCATCCACCTTTCGCTGGTCTTTCAATTTCAAATGCCCCCTTGCATTGTTTAGTCCACTTTTAATATGATAAAATTGATAATATTGATTTTTTAATTAACCAAAAATGACATTATTAATATTTTATTTTTCAAATTACAGAACTACTCTTTTTAAGAGCTCAAATAAAAATAAAAAATAAAAAACAAAATATTTAAGAATAAAGAATTATTGACCAGATTCAACCTGCCCTCCAAAATATATTCTGAAATATCAAATTATTCTTCTTTGATTAAATAATTCATTTACTCAAGAAATTTAGACACCACAATTCCCCTCTACTCCACTTGCGGGAAGAGTGTCATTCGCTGAGACAAGATGAATTAAACCGCTTAGTTCATTAAGTTTAATGAGGAAAAGAATTTGCAGAGACAAGAGTCTGAATCAGTAAGCGAAGATGATCGACTGTGAGACCATTAATGCAATAGGTTCATAATTTTCTTTGGGTTGATGGATTCATATTGAAAGTTTTAAGAATTCGCAGCTTCATCATATATTTTCAAGAAGTTCATAGCGTTGCCAGAAGAATCTGTTTGTTCAAGAATAAATTCAGCTAACTTCATCACTCAAAGTACAAGCAGCACTGCACTCAAATGGACACAAACAGTCACCTGCAAGCATCAAGCGATACCCTCACTCTAAACAAATCCAAACCAGATTTGAGACCAATCCTAGTAATAGCGTTACCAGCTATAGGTATCAGAACAGAAAAATATACCTAATATCAGACGTTAGAACATCATAGTTAAATGATTCTTGCATACAAAATATAAAAATATAGAGAGAGAAATAACTTGCATTAGGTCATCATCAATCTCATGTGGTCTGCTCAAGATAAGGGGTACTGGGAGCCTAAAAGAATCAGTACTGGGAGCCTAAAAGAATCATGCTTTCTCCGGTATTTGCCACCAAGATACCATATTAATGAACACTTTCCTCATTTTCATAATAAAGAGTTACCAAAACAATATTTTCACTATAGTGAAGGTTTCATAACTGTGCAATTCCATGTGATAAAACATTGGAACCCCCAAAATAACCATAAAAAGGAGATATAATAACTACCAACAACTAGCTCTCTCTTTATCAACATTCCAAAAGATTGGTTGCAAAAAAGGAATGACCAGTATTTGTGTTTTGCCAAAAGAGCATGGGGGAACCAATGTCAAAACAAGTTGACAACTGGCAACCTAGAACAAGCGCTTCCGACAATCTGCTGCACCACAATAGCAAGCCAACTGTTTTATCTTGCCATCAGGACCCATGACGCTGTCAAGAGCATAACCATAGTCGTACGTAAGTTCCTGCAAATAATGAGGAACAAAAGTTAGCTACTGTGCAAAATGATATTTAAAGAAGCAATACTTGAACCACTGCAACAGGAACTAATAAAGCAATCATTGCTTGATAAATACTGAATACCATATTCTTGCTTGATGAACTTACGTTATCCCTGGAAGAAATGCCTATCAGTGTGCATCAAACTGAACATCATAGTAGAGATACCAATTATATTATTTACTTTTATCTCAATCACAGTGTTCTAGCAAATGTGGTGTTGCAACAGCAATCAATCACACAGTATACACTCACCTGATTCAAAAATTAAAACTAGCTCATTATATGGTAGCTATATAATGAACCATATGCTAAATACTTTTGCTAGTAATTTATGCAAACTAGTAATAATTATTTTTATCGAGAATAATTGTATTTACGCAACTTAATATCTTGTAAACATTCTCCGCTAATAAAAGCCATAGATCCAAATTGCAAGGGCGCTAGACAAATCCTCCTCTCAATGATATATGGCACCATATTCTTTTTAAAATTAAAGGCTAAAGTGTCTTTTATCAACTTGAATCAAATTTTACTTAAATAGCTGGTGCTTTTATTGTTCTTTATTCAACATGACTAAATGGTCCCTAAACACATAAGATAGTTACAAAATTATAAAGGTATATATCAATAGGGATAAAACATTTCAATAAATCAAAACCATTTTTAGTCCAGATCAAGTGGCAGGCAAAAATGTTGCAAACAATAGCTCAAAAAGTTGTTAAGAAAGAATTTTTTTTTTTTTAAAAAAAATTAATTAAGAAAGAGAGATAGAGCGGTGTTTGTAGAACCTTCAACGGAGGTATATTGTCAGCAGCAAAGAGCACCACTCTAGCAAGCTTAATGTCATGGTGTGAGCTGAGAACACACTGAACAAACAGATTCGGCTGGCAACTGTGATTGATAAATCTAGTAACGTTCCCTTTCGAAACTGCATCAATGCAGAACTCAGGAACACTATCAGATTTATCGTCGCCACCATTGTGCACACATGATGTAGGTAAAGCTACATCTCGAAATCGCCTCTGTTAAGAAAAAAAAATAAATCAGGAAGGTCAATATGGACTCGGACCATAATAAACAAAACAACTAAATGAAACAGCAACAGGAAATTGAATGAAAAGAAAACAATACTTAAATATGAAAACAAAAAATCAGACCGATTTAAAATACATTTTAATGTGATACAAGATACATTATGTGTTCAGCATAATGTACATGAAGTTGAAGGACTATTCAGGCCTCTAATATGTCAAAGAACTCAATGTCAGTGCTATAAAACTTCAACTTTTCCTTTATAAATTTATAATGTGGAACAATAAATTGCATACTAAAGTAGACCTAAAGCAGTGGTAAAAGGCCCAATTCAATTTTTCCAAATTATAAAAATTAATGGTGCCAATAAATGATAGATGGCACGTAAAAAAACAAAATAAAATAAGCAACAGCAGACAAAAATACGACAGTTTGTGTAAAAAAGACCTATGGGGAAAAGTCGCAAGACCCTAGTCCAGCAAGAATCAATCCACTTGGGAACTAGACTCATGCCACAATATATCTCAAACTCTGTGGAAGCCATTCAATGAACCCATTTCCCAAAGCAATCCACATTCACAAATCATGGTTAGAACTCCTGCTTGTGATCTTTCCATCATGTTGCTTTATGTGGTTTTGGATTGCAAAGAATCTACTACGTGGATAACTCATTCTGAGTTCAGGGTGAACCAACTTTCCTGAAGAGAATTCCGCCAACTGTCGCAACCATGGAAAAATACTTCGACTTCTAAAATTATTAACCTCAAACCTTAGTTGGGTATTAAATAACATCTCAATCTTCTGCACTCTTAAGAATAACTGCTTACAAGCTACCAGATTTCAAAAATATTGCCTTCGGAAACCAAATTTAACAATTACTGAGGGAAAATGAAAATGATGTAGAACCAGAAGAGAGACATGAGAGATAAGTGTGTGATGTTGTGGCCCGAATTTGGTGCCGGGTTGCGTGGCGACCCAACGACCCATTGGATGAGCTTTGTGTGGCCCAGGCCGAGGAAAATTTCTGACACGTTTTTGCTCATGGGTCGTCTCTTGTAACCCGATATATAAGGGCGCGTAGGGTTTGGAGTGTGATGATCAAGAGACACTGAAAATCATACAGAGAGTGAGGGGCTGAAACTTGTAATCTCTGATTTTACACATTGTGAAGATTTTTGCTGGATCTCTACCGTGGGCGTAGGCTTTGCCAAACCACGCATAAATCTTTGTGTTCTTTGTGTGGTGTGTTTATTTTTCTGTCGTGTTTCGTAATTATTGCTTGGTTCGCTGGGTTTGTCATAACAAGAAGAGATGAGAAGAGAAGGTGAGAGATGATAGAAGATATGTGGGGAGGAAGAAAACCAATCAGTATTATAGTATAAGCCCATGCCTAGGTAGGTACGAAACCAATCCTGATCTCCATCACATATATGTACCAACAAACAGGGAAAGGATATCTAACGCATATTTACTGCAACATGGGTAGATTTAAAGAACATTCTCATCTTAGGCTCTTTCAGGATTATTTGATACAAGCAACCAAAAAATTCTATCCCAAAATATTCAGATTTTTCTTTTTTCTTTTTTAAAAACAAAAAACAGCATACTGATCAGCAAGAAACAGCATCGCAACATGCGAAAAGTATGTGTGATCAACAGTGGACAAGATTATCACCGGATTTAGCATCAATATAAGAGCAGAAACAAACCACATAAATGATTGTACATCAAATGGCAGAAAGCAAGAAACTCAAAAAAAGGAAGAAAAGACGCACACCGAACACATTTGAAATGCATATCAAGCACAAAGAAAAAGAAAAAAAATTATAAATTTGTTGAATTTATACCTCTCTTCCATCGAGACCCTTCATTGTTTGTAAGCAATCAATGTCAAAAATATAATAGTTTTCAGAGGCAGTATCTACTTCATCAGTCTTCTTGAGAACTCCCACGTATTCACAAACCGGTGCACCAGAAGGTATATAATCCCAACTTCTAACAGCCCACCCTTTTTTTGGAGTACGGAAGACCTGTTGTAAAACAGAGACATAAACACAAGTCAAAGTAAGTTGATGCACTCATTGCCAAAAATGGAAGCGGTTAACTGGTTAAGGTCACAAAACCTCCAGTCGATACTTTAGCTCTCTTTGAGATGTTCGGTTGACACAGTCACGTCCACAGCCACAATTGGGACCACATTCAAATACAACAGACTTGGGCTCAATTAGTCTGCAAAGAACAAAAGAAGAGAACAACCAAATAAAGATTTTTATAATAAAATTCAGAAATTGAAAAATCATAAACAATGCAGTACTTGGCACACATTATTTTCGGATCCGGATTTGCCATGCTTATAAGCAGGCCAAACCAGATTCTCAGCCTAATAAATAAAGTTAAATTGTGCAAACCTGAGTAACATTATTAATTAGATTGGGGCAAAGTAAAAATATTGGAGAAAATGAAATTATTTGAAATGAAGTAAACTCCCGCGATTTGAAATTTTGGATATGTTTGCAATACCATATCAATAAAACAACCCCTCCCATCAAACACAAGGTGTCTACAGGCCAAAGCTATCACCTTGACAAAATCGAAAAACATAGCTCATGCTTGAATCAAAATAATATTCTGAGCAAGAATAAGCCTTAGCCTATGAAGCCTGTAGCCTTTAGCATCACTTTGATTAGCACATTATGTCTCAAAATGCTCTGCAATGGATGTTTATGTGTAGTCAAATAAAAGCTGAATCATTTGACCTCTTAATCAACATGAAAAATTATTGAGCACCTACAATAAAAAATAACTTAAAGATTGCTTGAGAATCATACACAAGGCACAACATAAAACCAAGATGTATACCACACCATACATGATATTAATAACAATTGAAATGGGTGGATCAAACATTTAGATTGATAAACTTTGACCTCTTAGACCTATTTAACCTTTTGATATCTCAAAAGCTAAGTGGCCATATTGACATGATATTCAGATTGGTTGTATGTTGTGACCTCATTGACCTATTTAACCTTTTGATATATCAAAAGCTAAGTGGCCATTTTTAAAAAGAACTATAACACATCAGTGAAAGATTGGTTGTAGTTGTCATCACATAAAAAAATTCAAATAAATTTTTATTTTATAAAAAAAATAATAAATAAAGAAGAGAAGAATAATAAGGGCACATCTTAACAAGAAATATTTGAGTTCTTTGACACCTTTAAGGATATCAAAAGCCTTTGGTTCAGGAGCTTTCACCTCTTTGTATCTTGGTAGTGCTAGGACAGTAGGACAAAGGTTAGAACCTTTAACTATTGTTTTTATTTCTACCTTAGGCTAGAAAATCCAAAACTTAGTTTGAGTCAAATGTTACCTCATAAGCTTGCTTGAAGAAGGAATTTCAAACTACATTCAAGGGTATATGAGTAATCTTCACCACAAGGGTATAATGGTAATTGAACACATTCATGGTCTCATCGAGTTGGGTTTCAAGCGTGCATAATCAAGGATTCTAAGTTATTCATGATTCGATTACCTAAATCTTTCAAAATATGCATAAAACTGTTTCACAAAAATACTAGACTTGAATATTTTCAAAATATAAAACTACAGTGGATTCCGATATATCAAGGCTTCAATCAAGGGATACTGGAGAGCACTTTCGAAATTAAGTTATGACTCAACCAAACCTAATCTCTCCACACTTCTATTTGGCGTGTATATATAATATGGCGGGGCATAATATATAATATACCTAGAATACATAATGAGAGAGCATAATTGTGAGTTCTAGAGTGCTTCAATTCTTTTGTTTATGTGTTCTTCAATCGTAAAATTGGTGACTGATTCTGTAAGTTGACATCTATTGTTGTGTACAACAATCCAAGAGTTCAATTAAAATAGATGGAAGTTTACATTGAACCTGGACAAGTAGTGGCTAAAGACCGAATCACTAGTGAAAAAGAAAATTCTTGAGGAGAGAAATCCGTTGATGAGCAAATGAACGACCTGGAGACTTTTGGCCGAAGGCTTGGTGTTGGTCTGAGTCAGTCGACGTAACTAGGGATTTGTAAGATTTTGGGATCTTTTAATTTAGATTGTAAACTTCCATTCCCATAGTGAATTTGGTTTGCCTGACCTAGATCCCCCGGTTTTTCTTCATTGGGGTTTTCCACGTAAAAATCTAGTGTCCATTTCTTTAGTGCTTTACTGCTTTATATGTTAATTAAATGCTACAGTTTCTGCTATGCATTGAGAAGATTTAAATTTCTAATAATCTCTAAAAAAAAATCTAAAGTACTTCAATTTGGTAATATATTATACAAGACTTATTCGCCCCCTCCCTCTGAGTCTAGATAATGTGTGCTTTGTTTTTGACGCATGATTTAAGGCCTTTCTCAATAATTGCTTGGGGGAAATTTTAATTTTTCCTTGTTAACTATATTGTTTCAATTGTTTCGCTTGCATAAAGCTTCCAACATGCTCAATCATTGATGACAAGTATAGTCCAACCATTTCATAGAGATGAGGTGGGGTAGCTAAGGGTATAACGCATACCTACCTAGTACCATAAACCCAAAGGTCAGCTTCAGAGTTAATTGGAATCAAGTGGTTTCATGGTATTAAACATTCCGATGCGCTGAATTACTCCAAAGATCTCAATGAAAGTATATTAATGTAGCAAATTCTTTCAGAAATTTTAATACAATTAGCATTATACCTGCCACCATCACGAAGCACATATGGAAAGTCTGAGCCATTAAGCCTAGCACAAGAACATCTCCTTGGATCACAACAAGTATCTTCGCAATTACATCCAGCAGCAGCATGCTGAGGGACCTTAACACTTTCTGTGACTTGAAGAAGCTTGCAATATGTATAACCTGATATGTAGACAATTCCAACACCAAAAATGTATTTTCAAATTTATATATATTAATAACGATCATTGCAAGAGGCTGAGCAGGTATCATTTTACCGAGAAGAATACCTTGAATATAGAACACAATAGAAGATTAATAAACACATAGCTCACAAAATATATATACATTATACATATATCTGTCTACACAGTAATATATATTAATATATATATATATATATATATATATATATATATATATAGTAAGAAAACAAATATATATGTCTACACAGTAAGACCAAAAAAAAAAGGTGGGGGGGAGGGGGGCTTTAAAATAGATGGTGCATAGTTTTAAATATCAGGTGTTCCCTAAAAGGCTACTAGGATCAGCGGGAAACAATCTAGTCATGCCCTTTACAATGACGGAAACTTACTTAACAGCCAATAAAGAATCAATTATGGCTCAAAACAAACCGTAATGGCCCATAAGGCACCTACTTTATAGTCACATGTCTTAATACTGTGAAGATCAGAACATAGTGCAGGCAAATTTCTTAATAAAAGCCACAGTATGTAATTTTTATTTTATTTTAAGAGGTTTGTCCATTTAGTCGAGTCTAGAATTGACCTCAGATTAATGGACACCAAATGCAAAGTACTTGAAGATCAAACAGAGAAAAAGGCAAATTCAACTCTTAAATTGCTAACTCACCTTTTTGGCTCTTTAATTTTGCTTTCATATTATCATACTTGCTAGGGTTTGAAGATTGCAAATTTTTTTCAAATAAAAGCACTTTACATGATTCATAAAACCACTTCAGAATATTTCTATTTTGAAAATCCTAATAAACAAGGAGAGCGAAATTTATGAAAGTCCCATAAGTTCTAGTAGAAAGATCAAGACATAGTACGAGCAAGAACAAAATGGTCAATTTGGACGTGTATCAATTAGTCATGCAACAGTCAATATTCTGTCCCAAGATTGAATTTGTTTGTGAATATTAGAAAATTAAGGGGCGGCAAAATAAGATGTCTTCAAGTTCAAACAAATTTGATTGGGATTTTTAAGAGAGAAAAAGAACTGCAAAGTTTTAACAACAGAATCTAAAAACCTAAACTCTAATATATATATATATATATGTAGCTCAAGGCTATAATGTGAATATGACGCCTCAGGCAAAGAAACCAAATATGGAAGTCAGCTAACATTAACTTTCTCCAACAATACATTTAAAAACAATTAAATCAGATAACTGAACTTGCCTGTGGGTGCAATAGGTGGATCATCGACCAAATTGGTAGCTGGGATGGGAATTTTCTCTTGGCCCCCAGAGATGTCCTCACATACCAACCTTATTCATTAAAACAGAATAATTAGATCACATTTTGAATTAAAAGAAACTAAGAAATGATAATTTTCCAACTGGAAAAGTTGTTCTATTACCCACGTATCTCTGAAATAGTGTTCGGAATACGACCTCGAGTAAATTCAACCTGTCAAAACATTTATCAAATCATCCATGAGGGGTAGTACACTAATAGAATGACAAAAATGAACGGGATTTTGTGTATGTGTGACAAAAAGATTAGGTTCAAAAGGCATCCATGCTATGGTTAAGAGGTTTATAAAGCAAGGACTCTAACAATATAAACACTACCCATTTATTAATTGTTCACAACTTGCTAGTCGCCTAGTCAATACACTACGGGGCATTCAGCCAAGGTAATATGAGCTCTCCCCCCCCCCCCCCCCCCCCCCCCTCTTTGAAGGTGATCAGTTGGAGCCCAATATGCGGCATTACGTATGTGATGTGTGCTTGGGTTGCTTTCCTACCAATATATATATATGCATGCTTATAAACAGTTAATACAACATCAACTGAGAAACCTATTTAATAAAAAGGTCAAGTTGAATCATTTACTGGTTGAGATTATTAAAAAAAAAATATATCAACTATTGAGATCACTTTAACCTATACAAGTAAAAACAATATTAACATCTTATTAACAAGATGTTTTATTCACACTCCACTTTTATATTCTTAGTATTTTCTAGTAAAAGAAATGACATTATTAACCCTCAAAACTGGATTGTGAGAGTACTTTTAACTTTTAAGGACAACTCTGTCATTTCATTTTTTTGAAAAAAGAAAGTCGAGAGCAAGAGCAAAAAGGTGCAGTGCCAACTTCATTTCTCCCTCTTAATCATTAAAATGCAATTCAATACCATACATAAACCAAGATATTAAACAATAAAATGTAATTAAATCCCTCACTTTATCAGATCGGGCCACACAAATCATCAAATCATATAACGCAGAGTCATTTTACTAAATATAGAGATTAAGTGGTCATTGCAATATTTAACTTGTTTACTTAAACAGGTCAACAGGTAGAGCGCCGTAATCCTAACATAACATATGTGATGGCCACTCCTGTCAATTAACGCCATCCTACCAGCCAGAAGTTATATAATGGTATAAAAGCATAAATTCAACTTATAAGTCAACATATTTTATATTAAAATCCAGAGCATATTACCAAACCTCACAAGTTACTTCCGAGTTGAACTAAAACAATAATATTGCACAAACCGTAACAATTTACCCGTTACATGGAAAACTTTCCCAAATCAACTGTAAAAAATATTCCATAAACAACATACACTCATTACATGGAAAAGTTTTCAAATTCAACTTTTAGAACAGCTCCATCAATGCCAGCCAGAGTGTCTGCAGTTATATCGCACTTGTTATTTGCTGATATAATTAATTAACACTACAATGTCTTTCGTGCACTCGTTCAAAAGGGGAAGGTTGAAGATCTACAGTCTATACCATTTGGCTGACATTATGGAGCGTAGGTTGGAAATTCCCCTCAAATAAATTTGAAGATCCATTTAGAATCTTCTCATAAAGCCCTAGTTGTTCAAGAATCCATCGTCGAAGACATTCCCTCAACATATTTTGAGTCTATTTTTCAAATTCATACATTAAAGGAGGACAAAATAGAGAAAATTTAGAATGAACTTTTATAGTGCGGATTATGTGACAAGTTTCACTATTTTCCCATGAGTCGTTACTCGGAGTACCCTCCTATCGGCAATGGAGGGCAAGCCAATATGCATCATAAATTGTTTTAACATCCTATGATGGGAAAGTGGTTGTGAATGTATCGAAAGAAAAATGGCAAATGGAGAAGAATGGTAGAATGGAAATATGGGAGCAAGAAAGAAATAGGAGCTCTCACAAGAATTCATCTGTCTTACAGAGTGGGCTTGTGAAAGATGGAAACCCCATTAGTAAAGGCTGGGAGAAACAACGAAAATATGTTAAGCATATGGTTTGTAGTGACTAATTTTTTGGAGTGATCAATTGTCCTTCAAATAGATATATCAATTGCACATTTATTCATGTGTCTCAAATATATAATAATTTAAGTGTCTTGGATACTAAACCAATGAGTAACAAATAACAATGACCAAACTTTCAACTTCCAGTAATTGTATACTACAAAAAAAGTTGCGTTTACATAGAAATTACTAAATAGCCCACCAGCAAATCCTGTGCCAGTATTATAAAAGAAAATAAGAGCTTTCAAGTACTTCCAAGAAAAAATATATAACCTGACTAGTGGTCAATAAAGGCTGCCCCTCAAGCCGCTGCAGCCGAAACTTAAAAACAGTGAATCCTGAAACACCTTTCTCTGCCCAATAATTAGTAACCTGCAAAATTAATGCAATAAAATCCCTGTAGTTCTGTCGATGCATGACAAATAATCAGAGTAAAGAAGTACATTACTAAATGTCAAAGGAAGGCATGCAAAAAAAATAGAAGGGGAAAAAAAAGGCCCAGAGATATCAATAAATTGAATTCCAGTCAGAGATTTATCTGATTATCCAAATAGGGTAAGAGAGCTTTGATCAAAAATAAAACTAAGATCCAATAAGTAACATACTTAAAAATAATTTAGTAAGATCCTATTCGATAAGAATCTTGTCTGAAGCATAAATATATTCATATAATATACTCTACTACGTAAAAGCATTATCCAACCTAACCACCTTTCAATCTTTAACAATCTAATAGTGCATATTTCATGCATAAAATATTTTGAAATCTCCCCCTTCTTCTATTCCCTCTACTATTTGAACCAGTTGTCTTAATTTAGTGACATCCTCTGATTATAAGTTTAGACAGTCCCCCTCCCTCTCTTCATCTTGAATATATTAGGGTAAATTACTCTCACATCCCCTGAGGTTTCCCTTTATTACCCACTGATTTAAACTATTTAAAAAATAACACCGACACTCCAAGTTTACGGGATGAACTTTCACAACTTCAGGTGTCAGAGTTGAGAACCATTCATTTTGTTAACGGCAGTTATAAATTTACATAATTATCCTCATCTTTAAAACTACATTTGCAAATGTCTTGCTGATGTAAGCATAATATAATAATTTTACTAACTTACACTCTCATTATAGTAACCATTGATGATTCATCTCTCAGTCACACACTATATCCACCACAACCGCCAGGCCACTAACCCGCCCCCCATTGCAACACCATAAACACCTCTTCAACCCATTGGACCACCCAACCCACCGCTCCACAATGTGACTCTCTCTCCACCATCAGCCCATAAGATGACAACAACAACAAAACAAACAAACAAATCACAGATATGATTTGTGTATTTTGTATTACATATATATAATATACACACATATAAAATCAAAAAACGACCATTTGGAATATTAAACCATCAATCAACACAGTGATAAAGAGGGAGAGTCGGAAAAATCTTCGACCCTCTCTGCCTCCAATCGAAACCCAAACAGGCAAAAATCGTTGGCCCTCTCCGTCTCCAACACCCTGACACAATTTCCAAAAGCATGGCACGATCAAGCTTCAATTCTTCCCAAACTTGCCCATCAATCCGATCTCTGTTGTCAAAACCCACATAAACATGACAACAATGGTGCGTCATGAGAATAGAAGGGTGAGATCAGGACACTCAACATAGAAAGTGACGCGAGAGAGAGAGTTGGAGGTGAAGATGTCAGTGTCAGTGAAGGTGTCAATGGTGATTGGGGAAAGATTAGGGGGCTTCGTGCATATGTATTTTAGGCCATAAATAAGTGTATAAAATATTTAATTAGTTATAATGTAATATCGTACAAAATAGGTGACTAGTTTTAATCATATACTAAAAAATGTATTTAAATCATGCTAGCTTTACTAAATGGTAATATTTTATAAACCATGCAAATATTAAGGTTCAAATGGTAATTTAAAAAAATGAGCCGAGTTTATTTTGTCATTAATTACAAGAAAGCGTAATTTTAGAATTTCAATTTATTTATCCAACTGACTTTTAACACGGCTAACGGTTGAGGAGGCCCAGGACGACATGGGCCGAATCTGACTTGCAAGCACGACATCCGGTCCGTACAGCTGGGTCAGCCCATAAAAAGACACTGCCATATGGGCCGAACGCGAATAAGCCCATCAAAGGTGACCGGGACTTATGGAGGAACAGGCCCAGATCCAGCAATCCGTCAATATTTGTAAATATCTTGTAAATATCTATAAATAAGGGAAGGAATGGAAAGAATAGGGGATCTTTTTGTTGAAATGTAAGAATTCTAGAGAGAGAAAGGGAGTATGAATTTCTTGCATCTTCAATTGGCGCCGTCTGTGGGAAACGCATGGAAGTTTGGTTGATCATTGAGGAATATCGAGTGGATTCAGACCAATTCGGTTGATCGAGACTCGATCTTTGGGATTTGGATCCAGATCTGAGCGATTGTGACCTACTCTGGAGGAATCATAGTTGTTAAAGGCTCAAGGCGCACAAAAGCGCAAATGCTTCCTGGAGCCTGAGGCGCAAGGCGCAAGGCGAGGCGCGCGCCCGACTGAAGTAAGGCGCACGTTGAAAAAAAACAAAACAAAACCCACCCCAATAAAGTATTAAAGATGCAATAGTATATATAAAGATTGCAATAATGTTTGGATGCTAGAAAATTTGAGTCCATCTTGCAAAAATCACATGGATGTGCTATTACTACTTTTAAGTCAAATCAAATCTAATTTTGATTAAGCACGATTTAAGCACGAATAAAACGTTTTTGCAAGTTGCAAGCACCATGTTTGGATGCATTAAATAGAAATTATGAATTTATCTTGCAAAAATCACAAGGATCAACTGATCAAGGATGTGCTATATTTTCAAATCAAATCAATCTAATTTTCTATAAGCACCATGATTGATTGATTAGGTATATCTCTATTATCTGTTTTAATAAGGAGTAAACAAAATCAATCAGGCGCATCACCAAACACATGCAAGGCAGTAAGGCACTAATCTACAGAAATAACAACTACGCAAAAACCCTCAAAAAAACAGAGGACCAACATCATCGAGATTCTAGACAAGCATAAAAATAAATAAATAAAATCTGCCAAAAGCAAAAGGAAAGAACTCAAAGAACTGAAAGAAGAGAGAGCCGAGAGAAGAAGAAGAAGAAGAAGAAGAAGAAGAAAAAGAAAAAAAAAAAAATCTGACATTCTGAGGAGAGGAGAGGAGAAGAAGAGAAAGGAGGAGGAGGAGGAGAAGAAGAAGAAGAAGAGAGGAAAAAAAAAAATCTGACATTCTGACGAGAGAAGAGAAGAGAGAAGAAGAAGAGAGAGAAGGAGGAGGAGAAGAGAGAAGAAGAAGAAGAAGAAGAGAGAAAAAAAAAAAAAAAAAAAATCTGACAGAGATTCGGTGAGAAGAGAAGAGAGAAGAAGAAGAGAGAGAAGGAGGAGAGGAGGAAAGAAGGAGAGAGAGAAGGAGAACTGACCGGCAGATCTGAGAGGACCGAGACTGAGAGAGCCGGCAGATTCGAGAGCTTCGCAGATATCGTCTTCGCTGCCGGCAGATCTGTCTCTTTCCACTTCGCTTTTGGTTTTCTTTTTATTTTTTCGTTTTGTAACCCGTAAGTTGTGTAATAAACAAATAAAAAGTAATAATAAACAATTAATAAACAAATAATAAAGAATACAAAACTGAAAAAATAACAAAACAACTATAAAAAATCCCCTTTTTCAAGAGGCGCGCAGACTTGCGCCTGTTATACAAAGGCGGCCGCCTTATTCAACCCCAGCGCCTTAAGCCATTAGAGGCGACATGGTGGCGCCTGGAGGCGCCTTGCGCCTCAGGCGCGCGCCTCCGGCGCCTTTAACAACTATGGGAGGAATTACAGTTCTTGAAGCTTTGGCAGAAGTGGCTTCAGATCTACGCAACAACGAGTTGTTCGATTGTGGCAGGATCTGACGGATTTAGAGTTCAGACAATTCAGATCTCGTAAACGGTGAGCATAATTCGGAGAATTCGAAACCAGATCTGAAAAATTCCCACTCACGAAGCTCGGATCTACTCGCGAACCTGAGATTAATGCCTTTACTCCGTTCAGGAATAATGATAGGTGAAAGCTCCAATCCGATGGAGGCTGTCCAGCAAACAAAGCTTGAGGAGTTGATGAACTTGATTGAAGCTCTCAAAAAAGAGAATGCAGAATTGAAAGCTGGAATGCAACATCGGCAAATACCTGCGGTTTCGCATCCACTTCCGGTCGGTGAAGGAGGTGTTCAATCTAATATCGCGCGTCAAGGCGAGCAGGACGAGAACAATCAGTCAGCTCACCACCGTGATGAAAGGATGATAGACAATTTGCCGCCAAATGTTCGTCGAGTTGAGGATCACGAAGGATCGACTCACGTTGATCCGCGACATGAGCAGATGAGACGGAATGAAGCCATAACCTTCGATCCGCATCGGGAAAGGTTCGACCGAGAGGAAGTGATAGAGGTTGATCGCCGTCGAGTAGCGTCGCCTTGGCAAAGAGAGTTCATAGAGGAACGGTCGTTCGATCCGTCTTACCGGCCCTCCATGGCTACTATCACTCATCGCGGTTCGGAGGGCAGAACCGTAACTCACAGAGCTACCGCTGGACTCCAGAGAGAGAATGAAGCTCTCCGATCCGCAGCTCGGACGGTTGATTCACCATTCACCGACGAGATCTTGAATGCCCCGCATCCAAGGAAGTTTGCTATGCCAGTGTTTATTCTGTTTGACGGAACAACCGATCCGATCGATCATGTGTACCATATCCAGTTGAAAATGGCCCTGAATACGGAAAACGACTCTTTAATGTGCAAATGTTTCCCTACAAGCCTAGCCGGACCGGCGCTCAGCTGGTTCAAAAACTTGCCTAGGAGCTCCATTGGTAGCTTCAGAAACCTGTGCGATCGGTTCATAAGCCAATACTATGGGAACAAGCGCCCGCCGAAGGACATCTCGAGCCTATTCACGATGAGGCAGCACAAAGATGAACGTCTCCAGGCTTTTCTTACCAGGTTTAATCTCACTAAGAGTATGGTGATCGAATGCCACCCTTCTACAGCAGTTCAAGCCTTCAAGTTAGCCATGACACGTGGAACTCCGTTTCACACCAGTCTGGTAGTGAACACGCCGACTACCATGGATGAACTCAATGAAAGAGCCGATGGCTTTGTGCGCCTAGAAGAAGAGGAGGCAGCTAATGCTCGGACAGCGTCGCTCGTGTCGACCGAGGAAAAGTCCAAGGCAAAGATCAGGCAGAAGCAGGCTCAGCCGCAACGTCAGACCTCTTGGAAGGCAGAAAAAAGGTCCAGGGAGGAAGAGCTGATTACTCCGCTG